ACTTAATAATTTTGCCTCTATCTAAAATAATATAATTTATTCTGTGCCTTGATACTAAATAATTTAAATGTTTAGCTACCTATAAGTTTCCTTTCCTGTAATTGTCAGAACTAGGCAGGGCTTATAACCTTTTTGTGTGAAACGTTGCTAATACCTCACATTTTTTTTTACCTCCAGAATTTGAAACTATTCAATCCCTCCAGGCCCAGAGGCTATCGCAGAAGTGTGTCATTGTAAGGGCCAGATTTCGAGGGATAAAATTAATAAAGACCCTCCAAATCAAGGACAGACACACAGATGCCTAAACAGCTGAACAAAATGCTTGTGTTTTGTATAGCTAATTGCTACAAGTCAAGATTACAGTATCTCAATGCAGAAAATTTATAGATAACTCAACTTTATAACCTTATTTTTTGGCTTTTGGTTTTTGGCTCTTATGTTACCTAAAGGGGGTTTTAAAGATTACTGAATACCTGCTCACCTCCACTCCTATCTAGCCTAAAACGTTTAATTGGATGTAAGTCTTTGACTCTAAGTTCCTTGGCAATAGGGGTCCCACTGAGAAGCATGAGGGACCAGGGGCAAGTAGTCACACCACCCCAGAACTTAAGCTAGTAAAAGCTTAGCTATGGATACTGCCTCTGCATACCTTGAACAAAAAAGGGGGAATATAAACTAAAAAAAAAAAAAATCCTAAGCCTCCCCCCTCCAACAGAGGGAATGTATCCACCTCTTGGCCAAAGGGAATCTCAAAGAAACCTGAAAAACTAGTTCAGGCCATTATGAGAAGTGGAGGGTTGGACAGGCCAACTATACCTTCCCCCACTTTGGAGTTTAGGCACAAATGACCAGCATTAACATTAAAATAGAGATCACCTAAGACTGACAGACTCTGTAGCAATAAGATACATACTGTTACCTGTTTCACTTACTAACAAAGACTCTCAGAAGGTCAGCAAACAAGTGTTAATGCTGCAAAGCTTTCCCAAATTCATTTTATTCTGGAGTTTCCTGTATGATATCTCTTATGTTAAATAAGTAAGAATTTGGACTGAACTGTTACTCCCTTATATTTACAGTCTTCTGTTATCTCTTCATATAGGTCCTCATATTTCTTGTCAGGAATATTGCCAGATCTTTTATGGTTTGGGTTGGAGTTGTGGGTGGGATCATTTAAAAACCCTATTTTTCTAACTGGTTATTGCTGGCATTTGTTTTTTAAAATAAACATTTATTTCATTATTGTATCCAACCATTTTCTAGTTCTTTATTAATATGCTAATCTTTAAAATAATTGTATAACTTCCTCTCTAATAGCTATAACTCTTTATTTCTATATCATATTGTATTGCTTAATTGGAACTTTCAAAACTATATTGCATTTTAATAATGGAGCAGGCAGTTTTGGTATTTTTTTCCCCAAGAATGGAAATGCCTCTGCTATTTCATTGTTAAGTATTACGCTAGTTTGAGATAAATAGAAGTATTCTTTTCCTTGTTTTGAAATAAGAAAAACAAATGGAATTTTATTTTTAAAATTTTAGCATTTACTGAGGTGATTTTAAAAAAATATATTGGATCTATTAATACATTACCCACTAGCTAAAGGCATTTGGGAATAGAAACCAGCCTATAAAAGACTCAATGGAGAAATCCAGGATGAAGATGTAACCTTGTGTGCTATCAATAAGTCTCCTTTTTTTTTTTTTTTTTTTTGGATGGAGTCTCATTCTTGTCATCCAGGCTGGAGTGCAATGGTGCAATCTTCGCTCACTGCAACCTCCACCTCCCAGTTCAAGCGATTCTCCTGCCTCAGCCTCCAGAGTAGCTGGGATTACAGGCACCCACCACCACACCCGGCTAATTTTTCTTTTGTTATTTTTAGTAGAGACACGGTTTCACCAAGTTGGCCAGGCTGGTCTCGAACTCCTGACCTCAGGTGATCCGCCTGCCTCGGCTCCCAAAGTGCTGGGATTACAGGTGTGAGCTGCCGTGCCCGGCCTCCATTTTTCAATCTATAAAATGGAGGTAATGATACTATTTTCAAAGGGTAGTTGTGAGGTTTCAATTTTTTTAAAAAACGTACTTAAAGCTCTACACAAATACTAATTCTTCTCACTTAAAAAAAAAAAAAAGTCACCTGAACATTTCTTTACCATTTTCTTATTACTAAACTTTGTTGTAAAATTCAAATTAAAACATAAAACCAAATTTTCTACACATAGTTTCCTATGAACCCTAAAAGGTTTCAAGAGGTGACTAAGAATATAAAGCTCTTTAGAGTTGGCTGTATTTACCGTTTACCTAAAAATTAATCCAGTGACAAGCAAGATCAAACAATAAGCAGATGAGAAAGTAGAAATAAAAACTACTCTTTCGAAGGTTTTTGCTATAAATGGGGCAGGGACAGGGGATGCTAGCTGAAGGGGAAAAGTGGGACCAAAAGAAGCCTATCATTTGTTGTTTAGATGAAATAAATTCAGCATGTTGGTCTGCTGTAGGGAATGATCCAGTAGAGCAGGGAAACAGTGTAGGGAAGAGAGGGCCATCAGTAGAGTGATATCCTTGACTACGTAAGAGTAGGTAGGATCTACTGCACAAAGGGAGGAGATAACCTGAGACAAGAATAAGGACAGACAATTCATAAAACCGGAGGGAAGAGGATGTGCAAGGGTGCAGGTAGATGGGCAGCTCTGCTGGTAGAAACATGCAGAAGTCCTCTTCCGATAGCTTCTCTTTTTTCTTTGAAAGAGGAGGGTAAGCTCATTACCTAAGAGTGTGATTGAGTAGAGAGGTGGTAGAGGTTTGAGAAGAAAGCAGAAAGGGTGAAAAAATTATCTGAACAGTGAACGTACCCATATTTGTCGCATGTGCACCTTTTTCCAATTAATAAATTCATTTTAAAACACCTTTAATATTGCCCCACTGCCTTCAGAATAAATGTAAATTCATTAGCATCATGCAGTCTTCTTGATTCATCTCCTTCGTAAACTTTAATCTCATCTTTTACCGCATTCTCATTATGACCTATGTTCCACTTTTATTAATTACTTAGCATATTCCCCAAATGGCTTTATGTTTAATGCTCCTGTGGCAGACTGTATTTTCCAAAGGTGACTGCAATAACGTATCCCATCCCATGTGCTGCTCTGTAATGTGACCTTAAAGCAGTCTACCTCTCCAGTCCCTTGAATCTGTGACTATTATGACCAATAGAATACAGTGGATATACACCTGTGCCAGTTCTGGGAGTAGCCCTTGACTGGCCTGGCAGTCTCTACTTACGTCTTTTGGAATGCTTGCTCTTGGGATACATCCTAACCTAACCACCATGCTGTGGAAGAAAACGGTACAAGAGGCATTTCTGACAGGCAGCCCTAGCTGGGCTTCCAGTCAAAAGCCAGTGTCAGATGTTAGCCAAGTGAATGAGTCATCATGGAATGACCGTTCACTTGAATCTTCAGTATACCTGACTGCAACCGAACAAGAGACCCCAGTCAAGAACCATCAGGTGAACCAACCCAGATAATCCACAGAATTGTAAGAGAGAGTTTGTTGCTTTAAGCTCCTAAATTATAGGGTGGTTTGCTATGTAGCAACAGACAAGCAGAACTGTTTTGAGTGTGATGTGGTAATAGCAGTTGTATTATCATTTACTGAAGGCATGGCAAATACATGATCTAGGATCAAGTCATGGCTCAGCCACTCCCTGGCTATATGACCTTAGAAGTTATTTGAATTCCTGAATTTCATTCTTCCATAAATGGGAATAATAGTAACTACCTCACCTGACACAGTCCCTGGCTTTAAAGGAATAAATATTTCTGCCCTTCACCTTAGGCCTTACTTTTGGCCCACGGAGGAAAGAACTTTCTCTCCTATCATTCTGACCTTTTCTCTTTATACCCACATACTAGCTCCTTCTTTTGAGAACTGGTACAACTTGTTGAGCCACATTTTACTAGTGGGCATAGTTACTGCATGTGTACCTGTAAGCATGCTTTCTGTTTTTTCCTGTAACTAGGTACATGAAGCAGTTCCAGCTATCCTGCCAATGCATGTATTTGATAAGTACACTTAGAGCCTGCCCCCAGAGACTCAATTATATCTAAGATATAGATATGGAGATAGAGGAAGCTACTTCAGCCTTGGGACAAAGCAGTATTCTGCAACCAAGCTTTAACAAAGCATTGGGTACTTATAGAAAGTGGCATTTTATTTCCCATATGGCCACTAATCCTTTTTGTTCATGGCTCCCCAGTTGAGGAAGAGTATAAATGCCCACCCTGATAACCCTAATAAACTCCTCCTGTTCTTTAGCATTCAGTTCAAGCACTGCCTGTTCTGGAAAGCCTGTCTTTATTACCTCACCCAAATTCTGTTAGGTTTCTCTTCCCTACGTTTTCATTTATCCTCACATAGAACTCATATGACTTTTCATATCCATATTCTGGTTTGATACTTTCTCCCAATAGTCAATGAACCTCTTTAGAACAGGGAAAACAAAGGTCTTCCATTTAAAGTGTTTACATATGGCAGGGTCATATCTTGCATACATTACAAATTTTAAGGATACATGAGTGTGTATGTACACAACATCCTCCATACCAAACAATAGGCTTCCAACAACAATAGCCAAAACCTAGATACAGATTTTAAACATATCCCAAATCTAGAAGTTAGGATACAAAGAGTATAACTTGAGGTGAATAGAAAACTGGTGATATTTATTTAATAAAGAAATAATATATTGATGGCATGTAACAAAGGTTTTGCTAATTAATGAACATTTTGAACTTGAAAGGTAGAAAAATAATTAAATAGTAATAGGTTTGATATTCTGAAGTATCAATTTTAAAGCCTCTATCATAAACTATTATTAATGTGGCCAAAAAGCAATACTGAAACCTTGGTACTATTATTCAATATATGAAATTTAATCCTGGTAAAATGAACAATAATTATACAGGAGTTACAAATGTAAGTATTTACTTATATACCTTCATTGTCAGTATTCAGTTTGGCTTCCAGTTCTGTAATCTTGTGTCTTAGTTCAAATATTGAGAGTTGCACTGCATCCCTGTTATTTAAAATGTTTTTGTTGATTATAATTCAATTTAAAATAACATCAGAAAAATAATACATAGTAACCCACTACTACTTCAGGAACAATTTACTATGACACATCATTTACTGAAGGACTGGTTAAGAAACAAGACTCAGGTAAAGGAAGGCTTCCAATTAGTTCTAGGACTCAAATATGCACTAAAGCTCAAAGACCCCCAGGCAACCACTGGAAATCCTTTATTTATTTATTTATGAGACAAAGTCTCACTCTGTTGCCCAGGCTGGAGTGCAGTGGTGCAATCTCGGCTCACTGCAATCTCCGCCTCCTGGGTTCAAGCAATTCTCCTGCCTCAGCCTCCTGAGTAGCTGGGATTACAGGCATGCGTCACCAAGCCTGGCTAATTTTTTTTGTATTTTTAGTAGAGACGGGGTTTCACCATACTGACCAGACTGGTCTTGAACTCCTGATCTTGTCATCCGCCCAGCCTCGGCCTCTCAAAGTGCTGGGATTACAGGCATGAGCCAGCACGCCCCGCCCTCGGAAATTCTTTAACTTAAATATCATCCCAAAGAAGTTAGCTATCTGGTTTTTCAGAACCAAGCAAATTAGGCACTGCACATTATTACAGAAAGGCATACCTAGGGCAATACACAATAGCTGACAAACTGAAACAAAGGGAAAAAAAGAAACACTAATTTAAAAGGTTAAGCTATTTAGGACATCAATAAATAGAACATTATCATATGACAGGACCATTTATTCAATAAATAGTTTGAGTGCTATTATGTTCAAGGCATTGTATTAAACACGGAAGAATTCAGTGAACAGTGAACAGAAAAATAGCAATAGCGGCAGCAAAGTTCCACTGGATGCGTATTATAAGCCAATGCTGAGTGCTTTATAGTGCATTTCATTCCAACCTGGGAACAACTGCAGGAGTATGATGATGACTATTTGTATACCCATCTTAGAGTGGAGAAAACTGAGGATTAAAGAGGTTAATTAACTTGTCTAAGATTGCATAATTACTGAGTGACAGGTGGGGTTTGCATTCATTCAGGACTCTCCTCAAGTACTTGCTCTTATTCTCTACTTCCTCAGAATACACAGAACCTGTCCTCAGAATGCGTGTAGTTTGGTAGCAAGACAAGAAATACACAAGCAATTAAAAAACTGTGATTGGAGCTACAATAGAGGAAAACCCAGAACGCTATCTAGGCACAAAGGAGAGTCCAATTCTCACGGGACTTGTGGATGGAGTTGGGAGTATGTCCAAAAAAATAAATGTTTCAAAAATTTAACACCAAGTACGAATACTGTTTTTAAAAAGCATAAAGGAGTAACAGTTTTACTAAATGCCATTTTATGAAGTTCCCCCTAAAGGGATGAAAGAAAAAAAGCAAACCCGCATAACTAAATAAAATCTTTGGAATTTTAAACAAAAAAACTGGATTTATGGAGACAACAAAACCAAACACAACTTTTGGCATTACAGTATATAGGCAAAACACACGCCGTATGCTTGGATCCTAAGGGCAGAACATCCTACCTCGAAAGCTGCCTACTTACAATACCAAAGGCTTAGTCACAGAGGCACATGAATCTTTTGCAGGGAACACTCGGGCAGGTCGACCGAAGTGCCCAGGGGTTAATCCCGGGGCCGGTCTCCCAGCATCCTCAGCGGCTTTGGCCCTGAGACGCCGCAGGTGAAGGCTCGGGGGGCGTGGACCAGACTCCACACAGCGCCGCCCCCCGACTCACTTCTTGCGGATTTCTTCCAGCAACTGCTGTTTCAGGCAGTTGGTGCTCACACCGTCGAAATTGTAGCTTTTCTCTTCCTCCATAGTGTCAGGCTAGAGACCTCCCGCGTCTTTCCCCTCAGCACACCTTAGAACACAAGACATTAAAGGCCACCCAGAGGCGAGCAAGGAGAGTACGGCACGAGGCGGGGCACCCGAACCGCCTCCCGGTCCCACCTCCCGCGCGTGCCGGCAGAGGCACGTGGTGACGTCATAAAGCGATGCCCGTAGGAGGCAGGGGGCGGGGCGAGGGCAGCCGGGGAGACTGGCAGAGAAACCTGCTCTGTTCTGTGGAGCGACCCTGGAGAACAGCTCGAGGGACACTCCTTGCGCAAGACTCTGGGGTTAGATTGTTACGATTACACAGAGGAGTGTCAGGAGGCCGAGAATATCCCTCACCTTTTTCTTCCCTCCTGCTGGTTGCTTTCCTAAACATAGACCTGGGTGGCAAAGTCGGCTTCACTCTTAGCCCTTGTTAGGAAAATGCTGGATCCAAGAGTAGCTGCGCCCTTCTTTGCTTCAGTTGAACAAGCACCAGAGTCGCTGATTTGGCAGTGTTGGAGCGAGAGGAACTGGCCTTAAAAAGGTACCTCCTGAACTCCGGAAGACTGCTAACCCTCCAGATTATTGTTTTGCATCTGTGTGCCGTTCATGAACATACCTCAGAGCTGCTCACTGCAACTTGAAATTTATGTATGTATGTATATATATATACACATATATAGTCATACATAGTCATGCGCCTCCATGTGAAGAGACCACCAAACAGGCTTTGTGTGAGCAACATGGCTGTTTATTTCACCTGGGTGCAGGCGGCTGAGTCCGAAAAAGGAGTCAGTCAAGGGAGATAAGGGTGGGGCCGTTTTATAGGGTTTGGATAGGTCAAGGAAAATTACAGTCAAAGGGAGGTTGTTCTCTGGCGGGTAGGAGTGGGAGTCACAAGGTGCTCAGTGGGGGAGCTTTTTGAGCCAGGATGAGCCAGGAAAAGGAATTTCGCAAGATAATGTCATCGCTTAAGGCAATGACTAGCCATTTTCACTTCTTTTGTGGTAGAATGTCATCAGTTAAGGCGGGGCAGGGCATTTTCCCTTCTTTTGTGGTTCTTCAGTTACTTCAGGCCATCTGGGCGTATAAGTGTAAGTCACAGGGAATGCGGACATGCAAGTCACAGGCGTATATGTGCAGGTCACAGGGGATGCGATAGCTTGGCTTGGGCTCAGAGGCCTGATCTACATTTCTTTTTTTTTTTTTTTGAGACGGAGTCTCGCTCTGTCTCCCAGGCTGGAGTGCAGTGACACAATCTCGGCTCACTGCAAGCTCCGCCTCGCCGGTTCACGCCATTCTCCTGCCTCAGCCTCCCGAGTAGCCGGGACTACAGGCGCCTGCCACCACGCCCGGCTAATTTTTTTGTATTTTTAGTAGAGACGGGGTTTCACCGAGTTAGCCAGGATGGTCTCGATCTCCTAACCTTGTGATCCATCCGCCTCGGCCTCCCAAAGTGCTGGGATTACAGGCGTGAGCCACTGCGCCCGTCCTCATTATATTTTTAATCACAAAGTTCACCTCCTGCCCTTGATACATCTGTGTTTCCTTGACAAAAAGAGACAAACTCTGTAAAATATTTGAAGAGATTTATTCTAAGCCAAATGAGTGACCAATGGCTGGTGACAGCTCTCAGGAGATCCTAAGAACACGTGCCCAAGGTGGTCAGGGTACAGCTTAGTTTTATACATTTTAGGGAGACATGGGACATCAATCAAATACATGTTAAGATACACACTGGTTCCATCCAGAAAGGCAGGGCAATTGGAAGGGATGGGGGACAGGGGGCGGCTTCCAGGTCACAGCTACATTCAAAGATTTCCTGATTGGCAATTGGTTGAAAAGTTATTTACTAAAGACTTAGGAATGTCTTTAGAAAATAAAGGGGTTGTGGAGACCAAGGTTTTAGTGAGAATGGGATAATTGATTGGTGTGGAAAACACAATTTGGTGTCAGACGTGTTGTGAATACATAAATAGTTTTCCAATTGAGTTTCTGGATGAGATTAACATTTCAATTGGGAGACTGAGTATAGTACATTGTCTTCTCCACTGTGGGTGGGCCTCAGCCAATCGACTGAAGACGGAATAGAACAAAAAGGCTGACCTCCCAGGAGTAACAGGGAGCTCCTACAGCCAAACAGCTTGAGTTGGAACACTTTTCCAGCCTTGGGCAACACTTTTCCAGCCTTGGGCTCAGACTGGGACTACACATCAGTTTGCCTGCCTCTCCAGCTTGTCAACTGCAGATCCTGAGACTTCTTAGCCTTCATAATTGTATGGGCAAATTCCTTATAATAAATCCTTTATACACACACTCCCTATTAGTTCTGTTTCTGTGAATTACCCTAATATAGGAGGTATGCTTATCAAAATTTTGTCTAGCTGTAAGTCTGAAAGGGCAACTCACAACCAAGTAAACAGAATAGAATGAAGTGAAAAGGACTAGATTATCTGTTGACAAATCCAAATGTACAGAGGATTTCTTTTTTGAGATGGAATCTCACTGTCTCCCAGGCTGGAGTGCAATGGCACAATCTCAGTTTACTGCAACCTCCGCCTCCCGTGTTAAAGCGATTCTCCTGCCTCAGCCTCCCAAAGTAGCTGGGACTACAGGCACGCACCACCATGCCCAGCTAAATTTTTTTGTGTATTTTTAGTAGAGACAGGGGTTTCACCATATTGCGCAGACTGGTCTTGAACTCCTGACCTCGTGATCCACCCGCTTCTGCCTCCCAAAGTGCTGGGATTACAGGCGTGAGCCACTGCACCCAGCCGAGGATTTCTTAAAAAGATCTGTTAGCAAAATCTCACTGTGGGAAATTAAGAGCAAAGGCAAGCAGAAAACAGGTTTGTGTTTCTGGCAGAAATAAAGCAATGGAATTTACCTCCTGCTTGAAACAACTAAGAAACTAAGAGGAACAAAAAAAGAAACAATGGTTTTCAAGACATTGAACATCAGGCAGTAAGGGACAATGATCTCTTGATGAGACACAAATGAGGCAAGCTCCCAAATTGGCCTGGGCCTGCCAGGGTACAAAGCAGAAAAGGAGAAAACAGGCAGAGGCTGGTGGTTGCCCTAAGTTGAGGAAACAGAGTTTCTCTAAGAGTCTAGGGAGAACAAGGCAGCTAGACTTTGCAGGGCAGACATTGGAAGGAAGAGCTGCGCACGGTGTTCCCAGACCAAACTGAGGGTTGGGCTGCTATTTCTTGTGACCCAGTAATAAGATGTAGATGAACCGGGGAGGAAGTTTTTATTTCTGGAACCAGTTACAGGGAGAAGGCCTGGAAATGATCACCAGACCAACTCAAAATTACAAAATTTTCCAGAGCTTATAATACCTTCTAAGCTATATGTCTATGTGTTAAGTGTGCATTCATCTAAAGACATAAGTGGTTAATTTCTTATAATCTACAACTAAGGTCTTGAGTCCTGAAGACCTTCCTCTGCAGCCTCAGTAAATTCACTTCATCTAAATGGGTCCAGGTGCTAGGGTGATTACCCTTGTCTCCTGCTAAATCAGGGAGGTCTGGTGATTTCTTCAGAACCCCAATAAACTTGTTTAATCCTAAATGGGTCCAGCTAAGAATTCCTTCATTTTTTTGGTCATGCTTTAAGGCCCAGTAAAGGCCTGGGCAAAATTGTTGGTGGGCTTTTGTTACATTCCAGCCTTTGTATAAGGGCCTTGGCTTTTTTATCTTTTAGCATTTAACTTAGCCACTCACTCAGCCACTCACTCAGTACTGAAACAGTTGTTATGGGGGCCTGTGTTGAGACCTGGCCTGCCACAGGGTACACTCTGCAACAGAGTCCTGATGAATGCACACACATGGTGGGGCAAGTACTCAGGCTGGGGAAAGAACCATCACAAAGGATTAGTGGGGAAATCTTTACAGTTTACAGAGGTAGGAATAATACCTGCTACCACCCACCAGAATGGAAAACCTCTGAATTCACAGGGCATCAGGTACACAGAGGATTTTGCTTTAGGAGTGGAAAAAAACACTAGCCACTAGCCCTAACAAGTTTAGAAGAAAGATCCAAAAGTATCCAACTGGTTCTAAGTAACTTAATCCCTTCCCAAGACAAAGCTCAAGAATATTTATAGGAACACAAAACATCCAGTACCCAATAAGGTAAAATTCACAATGTCCAACAATATCTTTGGTCTCGTTATGTTGCCCAGGCTGGTCTCAAACTCCTGGACTCGAGAGATCACCCAACCTCAGCCTCCGTTGGGACTACAGGTGTGCGCCTCTGCACCCAATGTAACATTGTTTTCTTAAGGTATGTTAGAACTCACCTGTAAGTCCATCTGGGCTGATGTTTCTTTGTGGGAAGATTTTAAACTCCTTATGGAACTATCAGCCAAAATACCCTTAAAGAATTTGGTTTAGGGAATTGAGCCTCTTGCCCTAACAATCAGTAGGACTTACTAATTTATAATGACGACAGTGTGGGACTGGCCCAGGAAAAAAAGAAATGACAGATGGAACAAATGTCTCTGAGCCCAGAAACACTCATACTTGATATATAGAGAAAGACCTGTGGGAAATTACTGAAGAAAAGAACTATTCAATAAACGGGGGTTAAATAACTGATTATCCACGGGGCAGGGGAGGAGGGGAGGAATTAGATACCTTACATCTTGCACACATACACACAAATCTCAGTAAACACCTAAACATGAAAAGCAAAATTGTCAGCAGTGACAACAGGCAAATTTTACAGTAGAGGGAAATGAATGGCAAATGAACATGAAAAATTCCTGATCTAAGGTCAGGAAAGGAGGTCAGGAAAACACAAGTTAAAATTATGAGATACTTTTTTATATATGCTACATTAACAATAAAAACATTGCAAAGTTCCGGAAGTACTACTCAAGAGAATATCATCATTTTGGAAAATACCTGGCATTATTTTGCAAAATTGACAAGCCAACAACTCCACTCTTATGTATAAAGTCTCTTGCATATGTGTACCAGGGGACAGTCAAGTATTTTTTGAGTATACTGTTTCTACCAACAAAAACTAAAAACAAATGTCAACTGATAGGAAAATGAACACTTGATGTGGTATACTCAAACAGAATACTACAGAGCAACTAAACCATCCATGCATACAAGCACAAGAATTTTAAACATAAACTCAAAAAAGCGAGTAAGACTTCACATTCAGACACTATATGTAGAAAGCTTCAAAAAATGAAACAGTATGTTTGAAGAATATACATGTGTGATTAAAAAAGGGCAAGGAACAATAAAAAATGATGTGGGGAAAGAGGTAAGAAAATAGGAAGAGCATACATATACGTAATTGGCAGCTTTCCGTGTCTTTAGTTAGGTGTGATGAGTTTTTAGGTATTAATTCTGTTACTCATCATACCTTACATGTAATATACAATTTTATCTATGTATCAATTATTATAAAATATAAAAAAATCTTTAGAAGATGCCTATCTCCTAATGATTCAATGAATGGTGGGAAAAGTCCATTTTCTAGAGTCTAAGACAGCACACTTTTTCTGCAAAGGGACAGAGAGTGTGAATAAGTTAGGCTTGAAAACAGGTGGCCATCTGGATTTAGCCCATGGAGGATATTTGCTGACCTCTGGTCAAAGCTAACTATTTAAAGTTTACATTCCATTATTTGCCATTCCATTTCTTTTTAAATTTTTTTAAATTTTTAATTTTTATGGGTACGTGGTAGGTGTATATATGTATGGGATACATGAGATATTTTGATACAGGTATATGATTCATAATAATTACATCAGGGTGTATCTACTGCTTCAAGCATTCATTTGTGTTACAAACGTCCCAATTACACTCTTTTATTTTTAAATGTATAAAAAGTTATTGCTGACTGTAGTCACCCTGTTAGGCTATCAAACACTAGAACTAATTCGTTCTAACTAACTGTATTTTCATACCCATAAATCAACCTCACTTCCCTTCCTATCCCTTCAATGCCTCCCAGCCTCTGGTAACCATCATTCTACTCTCTATCTCCATAAGTTCGATTATTGTAATTTTTAGCTCCCACAAATGAGAGTATATGAAGTGCCATTCTATTTCTTAAACTTAAAGCATAGACTGTAAGCTACTTACCAATTCACTTTTATTTCCATTTTATCAACTAGTACATTATCCTTGGTCTTAGGAAAAGCCTACATCAGTTCCATGTGTTCCCAAAATATAAGCCCATGTGATAATGAGGTCAGGCAATTCAGAGTTTTTTAATTCATAAAGTGCATTCTTCAGACAGCTTCAAATAATGTCTAAGTAGCCACTAGAAGATCAGAAATTATTAGAATGGACTACAGCTATGAAAACTAACACCAATCTCTTAAATTCAGTAAACAAAAATAAAATACCATTAGGTATTTAGTTACATAGTTTTTTAGCCCATGTAAGTAAATAAGTCTGTGAATAGTCTGCCTCCTGCCAAAGTGGAAACCATAATGCCTATCCACCATGGATTACGCCTAAGGTTTTCATATTCTTTACCTTGATTATGAACGAACCTTTCCTTTTTAATAACTTGTCTTTTAATATAAATTCCAATGACCGAATCCCAGAATAAAAATGTTTACCATTAGTAAACTCAATTCTGTTTATATATATATATTTTTTTTTTTTACAAGTTTTAACCTTTTGGAAAAACAGAAGCAGGTATGATAAAATAATTTCTTGAAGTACTTTTTTAATCCAATTAAGCTGATAATAATCACTTTGAATTTTAATACAAAACAATCATGTTCCCAAATGTCCTAGGCTCATAAGAGAACAATCGGTCTCAATACAAAAGATGTAATAATCTATTTTTATTCATTTTAAATCAAAAAGACCATTCCATTTCCTAACAAACAGGTAAGTTACAAAAGTAGTCCATTTTACTTTTCATCAGTCTTTCCGTTTTGAACAAGTCTTTTTGAGAATTCTTAGTTTAGAATTAGGTTTAGCTTACACACTGAAAATTTTGAGAAGCATCTAAAAAAATCCACACAGTGCAAAAAGAGGAGACAATACTTTAAGCCTTCTATAAAAAGAATTAAGGTTACTAAATGCCAATTTTTAAGCAAATATATAGTTTCCTAATTTGCTTTCTGAAATATAGCAGATATAAAAATAGTTCAACATTAGGTTTAATAAGGTCTAAATAGCACATGTATTATTAGCTTTATTTTACCTGCAAAAATATTTCAGCTACACTTGGAAAAAATAAACTTGAGAATATTACTTCACATTTCTAAGGCCAGATGCAAGAATACTTATTCTTTTCCTTTTAAATAGAAGACATGCCATAAAATTTATGAAAGTTAATTTATAGGAATGAATACATTTAAAAAATACTGGTTAATCTGTGAGGAATTCCACATTTGCTTACATAACAAAATTTCATCCATTTCATAAGGCTTTGGTATAGGTGATTCCCAGCACTCCATCATTTATCTTTCTTCTTTGCCTCCTTTACTTCCTTCGTCTGCTCATCCTTCTCCCCTCTCACGTTGACATTTGCTGCTCCTTCTTGATTTTCCCTCTGAGAATTATCAACTATCTGATAGTCCTCAAGGAGAGTGTGTCCTGTTTGTGTTGCAGTTTTCTTCACCATTGCTTTGATACCAATGTTGTTAATATTGTAGGCAGTTACGCCAACATTGACTGCAGAATCCACTGCATTGTGGGTAGCTTCTCCTGCATTATACCCGTATCTTTAAAAGAAAGATTAGAGGACATACAATGATATGATAAATACAAAATAAGGTCTTCTGAATTAGTATTAAATAAGTCAAATGATTACTGTTACCCCTGAAAGCAAAATTAAAGCTTAGGTTTCAATTTAATTAACAACTTAAAACACAGTAGAGAATGAAATCACACTGTGACAAAGCTGTATTTTCTCCTTTAGTAAAAACAGTGTGTGAAAATAAACTCAGACTAGCTGAGAATGATGTAATAAAGACCCTCAAGTAAAAATAAAGTGTAAATTATAATATAGGTCATTAATCAGTCATTTTTTTTAATCCTCCCTTTCTGGAAATATGAGGGAAAATATTCACAGAAGCAACTAATCTAGAGTCATATAAGTGGTTTCAAGTTCTACCTTAACCAGACTTCAGCTACGTCTTTTAATTATGGGAATTTGAGTTTGTCTTTAAACAGAGATTCTATGGCATTCTCCCCTGCATCCCACCCTACTGCACACTCACTGGCCTCCTTGCTGTTCCTTCAGCCCACCAAGCACTCAAAGGCCTTAGGACCTCTGTACTGGCTGCTCTCTGCTTGGACTTTCCATAGTTCTCTGCCCCACCTTCTACAAGTTGGCTCAACTATAATCTTCTCATTATCTAATCTGTTTAAATTGCCTTTTCCCACATGCCCACCTCCACCTCTTGACAATTGATTCCCCTTTTAACTACTTTTTCTTCTCCCATAACTTACCACTTTCCACATACTATAGAACTTACTCATTATCACTGTTCATGTCTTGCTTGTCTCACTAAAATATAAACCCTATTGGAGAGGAGATTCTTAGCTTTGTCCTTTAACGTATCCTAAATATTGAGAATAGTGCCTGATACTCAATGAATATTCACTAAATGAATGAAATCAGTAATTCCTGCCCTATCTGCCTCAGAGTTTCTTGAGCATCAGATGCATAGCAAGTGCCTGGGAAATGATAAAGCATATACAAAAGTAGTTATTATTGATAATAATATCTGCATTTAATGCTATTTCTATAAAATACAATTTGAGGTCCTATACGAGCATACCAAAACACATTTCCCTCGTGTTTAATTGTTTTACTCTTTACCCCATTTTGGTAACACGCTTTTAAAGCTTTTCTTGTCCACAGGTTTCCCCAAATAGAGGACTGTTTAAACAACAAACAACAACAAAAAGGCAAAAGTTTACATTTTCTCCAGGACACAGTGAAGTTTCTTAGGTGCTTTATGACCTATAGCTGGACATCTTATGTAACACTAGATCTGCCTTTTGAATTAACAACTTCTCTATTACTAAATAGCCTGGCCTAGAATAGTGGTTTGTGATCCTACTGGCTTGTTTGTGCTTGGCTTTTTTAACCCCAGTGTGAAATAATCTTACAGTGCCTCTGAATGATGATTCTATTCTGTCCTTTGCCTAATGTTAGTAATTATATTAGAGCTAGCACACGGCAGAGCCTAGTCTGTCAAACCTTCCAAGTCTGTACTACTCTTAATCGAGGCCCTTCTCACCAGTCAACAGACAGAAAAGCTTCCTACAACTGCTTCGGCCAGTCCCTGTTATGCAACCCTTCAGCATTCCACAGGATTTGCTGATGGTGCAGAAGATGCACTATTGCTGATGGTGCCTTCTCATTGTCAACCAAGCCCCAGTCACAACTACTACTGTCAGGTGGTAATGGCTGTGTCTACACAAAAAGAAAAAGGTATCAGCAGTTTCTGCACTGAAAAACAGGGACCGTAACTCTTGGTGGAGCCGGTTTCCCCGAGGGCTTACAGAACATTCAGAAAACTACATTCTAATGCCAACCATGCCAGTAATTAGCCACACGACCTTGGTCAAGTTTCTACCTCTTTGCATATTGTCAACTTTCTCTTCTTTATTTGAAAAAAATGAGGTATATGTGTGAAAGCAGTTTTAAAATTCTAAAATACTAAACATATATTTTTAAATATCCTATAAAATGGCTTTTCATCAGTTGTATTTATTTTTTAATATACCCTCAACTATCACTCCTGCTTTCCAATATGCCTTAGAACTAGTTTTCCTAACAGGAATCTATTCTTCTCTTCATAAATAACTGTTTAGTCCTTTTCTTCAGATTCAAACTATACTGCTATAAACTCCTATAAAGCATATGTCTGGCAGAAAGTTAAATTTATTTTTGATCTCTTATTTTTAAACAAATTTACTTTAATTAGAGCTCATTAAGTTGGATTTTATATACTAACACTACCAATTGAAAAATAATAAAAAATGAATACAAAGTAGGCCCTAAATAAGTCAATGAGATTCAAAACTACAACTGAACCAGATTTTTCTGAAATTTCTCCAATGTGTTCAGTTATACAGAACTGGTTTTGGGTAATATGACACCTGTCATTGAAGTTACCCCTTCATCCAGTGCAAATTTAGGGAGAATTTTAATTAAATTTCACTAAACAAACCAATAAACCAGCTACACTTATAGCATAGTACCAAAAACCATAAAACAGTAAATTTTCCACAGGAAAAAAAGTCTATTATTAAGCTTATATTCCACAAATATACATTCAAAGAAAATATTGCTAGGGGAAAATAAAAATAGATCTATCAAAGCTATATTATTATTCTTTAAACACTTCAAAGTGGAATAAAAGAAGCTTAAAGGTGAAACTTAAGCTTCATATGTAGAAGAGAGATGAATTATTGAATAGGTACTATACCGCAATTAAGTGTAGCAGGTTTAAAGTTACTGTTTTTCATTATTCCTGTATGTCTTCACATCTCCAAATATAAGACAAAAGTATTAATTTAACTGACAAAAATAAACTGAATGTTAATGAATAGTTTCTATGCATTTACCTAAAAATTTTAACAGTTATTTAATCCTCTGTACTGGCTTATCCACCTGAAATCAGATAAGGAAGTTTATATAATACATTTGGTTCTCTCTCAAGCATAAAATTAAGGGACATTTAAAATAACTACTTTGGAGAGCAATCGCTTATCATAGGCAATTAAGAACACAAATTTTCCTTATTATACTACCATCAGTTTGATTCGAGTACTCCACAAATGGTCATTCTGTGAAATACTTTTTGATAGTAAATTTAAATACAGGACAGTGTAAATAAACCTAAGTGTATATAAACAAATAAGAACAAAATTAAATAAAGGTACAACAAGTTTTTCCATTTCTTCAGTTCTATCACTAAGTTATTACTGGTTCAATACTTTTAGTTTCTTCTCTTAAAAGATGTTTTCTACTTTGGGCCAGATTAGCTCCAAAGGTGAGAAACAGTATTACTTAGATAAAATCTTTTATTCCCTACTGCCTCTCCCCTCTTTCTGAATTTCTAATAGCAGAAACTAAATTACTGCTAAGACTGAATCATCCTCATAGTTAGAAATACAAAGCTACTTAACTAAATTCTCACTTATCTGCTTTTTATTTAAATTCCATGAATCTTTGGGAAAAAAAGATAAAAAGAATAGCAATAATACAATAATAGAAATAAAAGAGCTGAGAATCACTGTTAAAAATATGCTATTCAACATATTAAGTTCTCATTAAGGACCAGAAGTGCAAAATCTACATTAAAATCCAGTATTTCCTAGTTATGTGAATCTCAAACTTTTAATAAGTTAATTGTAGTTAGGTAAGTATTTTTTTTGTCATTAGAGTAGGCCATGAAACAAACCCAACAAAGCACTTCCTATTTTCTAATATGATAATCTAAAAATAATTCACTTTTGGCCTAAAAGGCATTTCTGAATTTCACCTGTTCTTGCTACAAATAAAGAACTATTTTTCTAATTATGACTGATCCAAAGTAACCTCAGGGTCATAAAACAATGACTGAATATTAGAGTTCAGTGCCACAGGTGACAAGAAGTGAGTTGGAAGACTTGAGTTTTATATTTCTATCAGAAGAATTTGAGATCTATTGTATGTTTTATCTCTCAACTCTTTTGGTAAAACTGACACTCCAGCCAGGCACGGTGGCTCACGCCTGTAATCTCAGCATTTTGGGAGGCTGAGGTGGGCGGATCACAAAATCAGGAGATGGAGACCATCCCGGCTAACACGGTGAAACCCTGTCTCTACTAAAAATACAAAAAATTAGCCGGGCGTGGTGGCGGGCGCCTGTAGTCCCAGCTACTCAGGAGGCTGAGGCAGGAGAATGGCATGAACCCGGGAGGTGGAGCTTGCAGTGAGCCAAGATCACGCCACTGCACTCCAGCCTGGGCGACAGACCAAGACTCCGTCTCCAAAAAAAAAAAAAAAAACAAAACTGACACTCCAAAATGATATGCCATATTGCTTTGATTTGATTCAAAGATATGTATCCCCCAGAATGTAAACTAGTTCAGCCACTTTTGGGAGATTTCTCAAAAAACTTAAAATGGAATTACCATTTGATACCCAAAAGAAAATAAATTATTCTATCAAAAAGACACATGCACTCACATGTTCACTGCAGCACTATTCACAACAGCAAAGACATGGAATCAACCTAAGTGCCCCTCAGCGGTGGACTGCATAAAGAAAACATGGTACATATACACCATGGAATACTACACAGCCCTAAAAATGAATGAAATCATACCCTTTGCAGCAACATGGATGCAGCTGGAGGCCATTATTCTAAATGAATTAATGTAGGAACAGAAAACCGCGTGTTCTCACTTATAAATGGGAAATAAACACTGGGTACTCATGGACATAAAGATGACAACAACAGACACTGGCGACTACCAGGCGGGGGAGGGAGGGAGGGGAGTGTGAGCTAAAAGACCATCTATTGGGTACTATGCCCACTACCTGGGTGAAGGGATCATTTGTACCCCAAACCTCAGCATCATACAACAAACCTATGTAACAAGCCTGCACTTGTACCCTTTAATCTATAATAATAGTTGAAATTATAAAAAAAAGTAAAAATAAAGCAATTCCTATTCCCTAACTTAAAACAAACAAATGTATACATGCCCCAGACAGAGCAGATCAAACCAATTAAGGATGGAAATTAAATTAGCACTGTAGAGCACGGGGTCTGATGACAGAAACACTTGGTTTATATCCCAGCTCTACTACTCACTAGCAGAGAAATCTTTAACATGGTATTTCACTTTACATTTTGGTTTCCTCATCTGCAAAATGGAGATAACAGTGTTGAAAAATTAATCAATACGTAGGAAAAGCAATGAACACAGTGCCTGATACAAAAGTATGAACTCAACTAAATGCTGTCAATAAGTGGATAATTAACATAAATAACCAAGAGTTGTGAATACTATTAATATTGCTCTTCTTTTTTCTTTCTAAACAGTAAGATCCAAACTAATTCAAGGCTAAGAAAGCAACTCAGGTCCTTCATACTAGATTTAGTTTTTAGACCTTGATTCTTCTAGTATTGTATAAAGAAAGTAGAGTCAGGTAGAAAGAATAAGGAGCTAAAAGCAGAAGACCCTGCTTTAACTCTCACCTTCAATACCACTTGTCATAAATTTGTTATACAGTTGCTGCTTCAGCATTTATTTTTAGGCCTGACATAAGTTGCTTGAAACCTAGTTGTATCCCATCACCTTTGGCCTAGTTAAAACTTCCCCCTCCCTGTGTGGTTGTCTGCAATACAGTATACTTGTTTCTCATCTCATTGACTCAAAACCCAACATACCCCACAGCTGCTGACCACGAGAAAATCCAATGGTCAACATCAGAGTCATGTAAAACCAGAGTCGTGTAAATGTTCCCCTGTTCACACTTGTTTTCTTAAAACTAGTCAATCCACAGGCCCCACTGGAAAGCCAAAGGAAGAACACCCATGGACTTGCATGAAGGTAGTCACACAAATCGCCTCTCCCTTGCTGCTGCTCCCTGTCCACCCACCTCCCGCCCCACCCACTGGTTGAGCACTCTGCTGTCTTCAGACTTCCTCCTGGCCCTCGTGGGTACCCCTCTTCTCTCAAGGGTCTGTGAGTAATAAAAAGCTTCTGTCGTTTCGTGTGTTTGGTTGTACTGCCTTCTCTGTGTGTCACATGACCAACACACCCAAACCCTGCTCTCCTCCTAGTCAGGGTCTCCTAGAGAGTGGCTATCTTAGTAGGAATAAACTGGACACAGGTCAGAAAAGAGTCATAAGGGCATATGCCATAAACAAGTTCCCTGAGAGAGGGATACCTGGTCATGGATGTGCCAGGATAAAGAAGTATCCTGTGAAAGGCACACTGCAAACATCCATGAGCTTCTCCTCTTGAGCCACGACACAGCAGGACTAGAATTTATAGCCACTCTCCAGAGACAGACTATAAGGCCAAATGAGAAAGCAATCATAACACCAATCAGGTGAGCTTGTGCAAATCATTCATTTCTGCTTGTCCATTTCTTAATATATGAAATTGAAGATACACCATCTACCCATTCCAATACAAATGTACGGTGGTAATCAGAGTCAAGTAAGATGTGACATAATTTTTAACAGTCTGTATACTGAGTGGGCTAATATTAACAAGGGGTATAAGAGTTTAATTATAATTCAAGTTTATTCAGGCAGACATCACCCATCAAAAACAGGTAGTCAGTTAATAAGGTATACAGGAATTCTGGGCTTTTAAAAAAATTAAACTTATTCTTCACAGTAACGATGAACAAATGTTTATAACGATTAGTAATATAAAGCAAAGTGACAAGAATTCTGTTATTATACTAGAAATACTATTCTCCCTATTTAAGAAAAGCAGTGAGTGAAAAAAATTATTTATCAGATACTTAATAAAAATATCTTTACCATCATGGATTTTTGCAAATGCTACAGGAGATTTAGTTGGCCAGGTGTGGTGGCTCATGCCTGTAATCCCAGCACTTTGGGAGGCTGAGGCAGGCAGATCACCTGAGGTCAGGAGTTGAAGACTAGCCTGGCTAATGTGGGGAAACCCCATTTCCACTTGAAAAAAAAAAAAAAAATTAGCCGGGTGTGGTGGCGTGTGCCTGTAATCCCAGCTACTTGGGAGGCTGAGACAGAATTGCCTGAACCTGGGAGGTAGAAGTTGCAGTAAGCTGAGATCGCGCCTCCAGCTTGGGCAACAAGAGAAACTCCCTCTCAGAAAAACAACAACAATAACAACAAAACAGAGATTTAGTCATTAAAATAAAATTCAACTTACTTATATCTGACAGTTTGTACAGTTTCTGCTGAAACATTGTTAACAATGCATTTAGCTGCACATTCCAATCCTTGCCAAACAGTTGAAAATCCTGTAAAAATAATATTTAAAAGTATGTAAATCTAGTCCAAAGCAAATAGAGCTTCCTAGTTAAAATTCTGGGCCCCTTTGTTACCTTGAACACTACTTGCTGCTACAACCATGGCACCATCCAGAGGAGATTTCCCATCTTTGTCTTTTTTAAGAGATTCTGGAACTAGTTTGCTTCCATGCTTCTTGACATGTGGAGCTAGTTCTTTTCCAACGCAATTCGCTACAGTGCAAACTCCATCAACTAATATGACCATTAAAAAAAAGAAAACTTAGGAAATATATATTATTCCCTTGATTTTTACCAGTCATCTTGCAACATTCTTAAATGAGCCTCTAAAATTGTTTTACTATATAATGTTACAATTTCTACTTAAGGATATGAAGCTTAGAGAGGAGGTCTCACTATGTTGCCCAGGCTGGCCTTGACTTGTACTCCTGGGCTCAAGTGATCCTCCTGCCTCTGCCTCCTGAGTAGCTGGGACTACAGGTATGCAGCACAGACTGGCTATTTTTTAAATTAAGGCTTTTGTTTGCTTTAAAGCTGTGCTCGCAGAGCCTACTGATGTTTATAACCTTGCCTCTCAGATACACATGTTCTTGAACTTCTGCTTGAGAAAACCAGCCACCTTTTCTATCTGACTGTTGCAATGCAAGATTGGTTGGTACTTCTAGATTATTCCAGCTTAGTGTATTCATATTTTTCTATTGATAAAAATCTCAGTTATCGTCTCTACTAAAAAATACAAAAATCTAGCCGGGCGAGGTAGCGGGCGCCTGTAGTCCCAGCTACTCGGGAGGCTGAGGCAGGAGAATGGCGTGAACCCGGGAGGCGGAGCTTGCAGTGAGCTGAGATCCGGCCACTGCACTCCAGCCTGGGCCACAGAGCGAGACTCCGCCTCAAAAAAAAAAAAAAAAAAAATCTCAGTTATCTCAGTGAAATAACAGTAAAATGTTTAATTCTATAAAAGTAAACAATCCAAAATCTGATTCAAAAAATACTAAATACCAAAAAAGATCATTTTGCTAAATTTAATGGTAATCCATTAAGGTTCTATCTACCCATCTCAAAACACCAAATTTCAGTGCTGTGATTCTCTAAAAGCAAGGAGTTAGAAGTATATTGCTTGGGAAGGCTGGCGCCAGAATCACTAAGTCAGCTTTTCTCAAACAACAGATCCCTTTCTCTTGACCCTCAACTACTAAGCAGTAAACGACTCTCCTTGAAAGAATGTGTCATATCCCTTGGAAGGATTCAAGGATTCACATCCAGTCGTGCTGCATAATGATGTTTTGGTCATTTCAGACATTTCAGGGTCCTATAAGATTATAATGGAGCTGATTAAGTCCCACTGCCTAGTAACATCACAGCCACCATAACATCATAGTTCAATTACTTTGTTTTTAAAATAAATTTAGTGTGGCCCAAGTATACAGTGTTAAAAAGTCGGCAATAGTGTATAGCAATGTCCTAGGCCTTCACATTCACTCACCACTCACTCACTGCGTCACTCAGAGCAATTTCCAGTCCTGCAAGTGACATTTCTGGTAAGTGCTCTCTACAGGTTTTATGCCATTTTTTATCTTTTATATACTGCACTCCTACTGTACCTTTTCTATGTTTAGATGTGTTTAAACACACAAATACCATTGTGTTACAATTTCCTATAGTATTCAGTACAGTCACATGGTGCATAGGTTTGTAGCTTAGGAGCAATAGGCTATATCATATAGCCTAGGTGTGGAGTGGCAATAATGTTTAGGTTTGTGTGAGTACATGCTATGATGTTCACACAATGATGAAATCACCTAATGATAGATTTCTTAGAACTTACTCCCCTCGTTAAATAATACATGACTTTACATTCAGAACTCTTTTTCAAAGATACACACATTCTCCTCGTCAACACATCAAAACAACCCTTCAACCAGTTTCTCAAACTTTAACGTGCAAATAAGAATCACCTAGGGATCTTGTGAAAATGCAGATTCTGAATCAGTAGGTGTGTCTGTGCCTAAAATTCTGCATTTCTAAGGATTCCAGACAGGCCGATGTGATGTTGCTGGTCCACAGGTCTCACTATGAATAACGAAGAGAAACTGCTTTGTCCTAATTCTTTATTCTTGAGATTAAACCATCTAAATGAACATGCAGATTAACCCTGGATTAAGACATTATTTTAAATATAACTTTAAAGAGGTAAGGTTATCTAGAATTACTTTACCCAGGAACTGACTGACTTTTGCTGCTCCTCCTGTAGCTTGCTTCGCTATATAAAGTCCCTTGGTGACAGCTGGACTAACTTCCACAGGTTTTTCTTCTGGTTGAATCCGCTCTCGGAGTTTAGAAGCACCTTTCTGGATTGCTTTGCCAGTAAACTCAGCACCTTTGATTAAACCCCAACTCACCCAGGAAGCACCTTTTTAAAAGAAAATTTAAAATTGTACAATATTAGGGCTAATTATACTTTTAAACACTTTAATAAATAACATCAACCAGAAAAAAATAAAAGGAGTTTGATATTCAGAAGCTAAATGTGCCATGTCATAAACTTTCAAGCTAACTTTATACCTACAGTTTTCTTCCTGAATACTTAGGTCATATGTCACTCAGTGACAAGAGTTCTGCGTTACTCTATGCTGCCACTGCAACTTGCAGGTATCTCTATATGTTACTTACCACAGTATATCACTGTTAGGTATTAATTTTTAGTTTTGGTGCCATTAACCGAGAATTTGGCTAAAGAACCCAGATATTCTTGTTCTTTTTGCCTTAGGCCAGGCACCAGGTTTCCCCATGAAATCCTGAGGGAGAAAGACAGAACTATCACAAAATGTAAACCAAAGAAACTGCCTCTCAAACACCAAGGCAGAACTGTTACTTTCTTTAGGCTAAAAGCATTAGTCAGGGGATCCTGTTCCTTCCTGAATCCTAAACCCAAACTCTTGGATCTCAGTACTATTTAGCTTGCTACATATACCTGAACGACAAAAACATGAGAACACCCAAAAGCATGAGAAGAGAAAATCTAAAAGAAGAGAGAGGCCTAGATAATTTAGCCATTTCTCATGACAGTGGGTCCTAGCCCTTTGCTTTGCTTATGTTCTCGCAGCTTGAATGACAGAACTGCTCACCAGAGGAACAGAGGCATGGAAGGGCCTTCTCTAGTGAGGACAAAAGGTCCTCAGCCAGTGGAAATGTGGGGAAAGGAGGAGTGGGAGAGGGATGCGTAAAGAAAAAACACACAAGAACAGTGTCCCCTAAGATGGAAGAAGTATTACCCTACTCTGCAGAGACTTTCAATTTAAAATATTTCTTTTTTTGGCGAACACTTAACAATGTGCTTTCAAAGTTGAACATATGAAGTACTTAATTATATTCTCTCAACGTCTGTGGTATGGTTTTACATTACTCCAGCCCATGAATAAGCATCCAGCAATCATGTGAAAACCATAACAGTTTATTTTAAAATGTTAACAATGAAAAGTGACATGTAATAAATAATTAGAAATTTTATGTTTCTCTTCCTGTTTTAGTCAACATCTCCACCTCCAGCTCCAATCCTACCCCCACTGTCCTACCTGACAATCAATTTCTGGGGAAGTGCAGGATTCAAACCCAAGCAAACAGGCTTCCATAAACAATAAAAGGCTTGAAGATGTCCATTTAAAAAAATTATCTTTCTAGATTAACTTATAGGTTGAAAAGTGTTAAGAAGAAACCAGCTGAACATGAACACTGAGAAATCGTAAAATAAATGACAATGAAACGAAGGATACTACAATCCTATAATGAAACTATAAGAAATAATAGAGATGAAGTCAAATGATGACTGAGAAAAATAAATGGAAATGAGATAAAAAGTCACAGCACTAATAAAGAGAAATACTAGATGCAAATAATCAATAACATATCACCATGGAAGTATACAGTATACATAAATATGTTAAAACTATGAACACTGCAACAGAAGATAAGGAAATGCAATATTTCATTGGTAGCTATGTAGATACTTTAAATGACATGTACAATGCCAGATATAGATTGATTCTGTTCACATTTGCATCCTATGCACTGAATTAACGCAGCCACATGACAGACCATGAACGTCTGCTGAATAAATGAGACACTGGCAGATGTTAAAATTATCTAACTCAAACCTAACTACTACAGCTTGTGGGACACTGTCCACTTTTACTGAACTAAAGAAAGCTACCATTTACAGTTGTTATTAAAAACAGAAGTCCCTGGCCAGGTGCAGTGGCTCACGCCTATAATCTCAGCACTTTGGAAGGCCAAGTTGGGCAGATCACCTGAGGTCAGGAGTTTGAAACCAGCCTGGCCAATATGGCGAAACCCTGTCTCTACTAAAAATATAAAAATGAGCTGGGTGTGGTGGTGCGTACGTGTAGTCCCAGCTACTCAGGAAGCTGAGGCAGGAGAATCACTTGAACCCTGAAGGTGGAGTTTGCAGTGAGCCGAGATAGCATTACTGCACTCCAGCTTGGGTAACAGAATGAGACTCTGTCTCAAAAAACAAAACAAAACAAAACAAAACACAAAAACACGGAAGTCCCAAATCACAGCTTTCTCTCCTGGTAAAAAGCTAGCTGAACCCTAGGATTATATAGAACCCAACTTTTCTGGTAAGTTTTAATAATTTTATCATAAGAAATATGAGCTTAAAACACCGATTCACTGATCTTTTTATTTTCAGCTTTTGATATTCTTTATCTCTGGCCATGAGGGGGAAAAACTGGCAGAAAGTTGGCTAGCACATGGCTACTACTGAATTCTCAATCACATGACATGTATCTTATGTTTGATGCAGTCGTCTAAAAACCTAGAAATGATTTGTCTTAGCACTTAACATCCTATACCAATCAAAGTATAAATTGAATATATGATTGCTCTTTGACGTTTTGTTCATTCTATATAATTTATGCTAGAATAAAGGTCTTTGTGGATCTGACAGCTGGAAGACTGTACTAGGTCAATGGAGTCCAGAAGGAATCTACTGAAGAATAGGAGGACTTGTTTGTCTATTCTTTACCAGACTGAATTAACCAAAATGGAAAAGTTTTTGCCAGGGCCTAGAAGCACAAAATGGTAGCAAAAAGCATAATCTTGGAGAAACTTTAGGGAGGCATCACAGTTACCTCCGTTCTGCTCACTCTCAGCCCTAGGATGATATGCTAGAATAGGTAGGCAGAAAGTGATCATTCCCTCTCATTCCATGTCAACTGTTTGCCTAGCATTCCAGAGTCCATCTGTAAATTACACTGGGAAAGATTAGGGAGTTAGAGGGGACATTCAAATACCCTTGATGATCTTTTGCTACCTCACAACCACTAAAGTGTTCCAGAAATAGGTTGCTCCAAAGGTGAGCTCCATCAGTCTATTGTCAGCAACCCTCTGCCTCCTCCCAAATAGTTTACTAGGCTCTACTCCAATGATACTGCACAGCCGCTGCCTTCTTAAGGTGTAAGTCTAGGTTTCCCAAGCCCATACAGGTAAACTTTAAGCACGGTTGTTTTACTTTTTTCACCTTTTATATTAGGAAAACCTCAGACTAGCTTTTAGTGATCCTTACTTATTCTTTGACAGCAGACAAGCACCAATTATGGGCTAAGATGAATAAGCTCAATTTATATCCCTGGTTACTCATTTTGTACATAGACTGAATGAGTCAGGTAACAATAGTCTCTTGATAGATCAGATAATTTTCCCGGGAGTAAATCTTTATTAATTTTCTGCCCCCTCTTTGTTTTACTTGTACCGTAAGCATTTGATGAACTATTCGTTCTACGTATTAAAAAGCTCATAAAGAGACATAAACTCTGATAGGCAGTTAAATGGTTTATAGTCACTAACTATGAGGGACATTACTAGAACCCCAGCCCTGAAGGTATAGAATAAAAAGGAAAAGAGGTACTGGCATGAAGAAACTGAGGTCTTAAGTAATAAAGAAGGCCTCTGCATGTTACCAGAGCACAGTTTTTGCTTGTTTTAAAATTATGCACTGCTGAAAGTTCTTTTGAAATCTCCAGAGAGACCTTTTCCCAGGATTAACTGGCTGTACTGCTTCTGGTAGCACCATGCTGTGGTATCTATAGTACCTAGGAGGCCTGAGATTTAGTGGCAGCTGGTAATTTCTGAAGATGACCACAAACAGTGTCTCCTATTCTGAATGTTAATCCTTCCACAAGATCTTGACATTCTTCCCAGAGGGAAATGGGGTCTATGTCACATTCCTTGCATCTGGGCTGGCTTGTTGCTTGCTTTTAACCAAACGATGCTGGAAATTTCCAAGAGTATGTCAGAAATGGTAAGGCAGCTTCTGTCTGTTTGCTGGATGATTCACATTTGAAGCCCCAAGTCACTATGGAGAAGCCACACTAGCCTAAGGCCACCATGCTGGGTGGAAGTCCAGCCACAAAAGGCCATGTGCAGGCACTCTGTTTGGCAGTCCTAGACTTTGACCTCTCCCAGCCTAGATGCCAGAGGTGTCAGTAATGATTCCAGTCTTCAGCTTATTGTCAAGTCACTAGCTAGCCTTTGAGTCTTCCCAGATGAAGTCCTTAGATACTATAAAAGAGATATAAGCCACTCCTGCTGTGACCTTTCCAAATACCTGGCCCACTGAATTCCACAGAAACAAATGTTTGTTGTTTTGTGCCTTTGGGTTTGGGGCAGTTTGTTACATAGCAATAGTAAATGGAACAAACTTATAACAGCATAAATTCCAAAAACTTGGTAAAATGACCTTTGAATTTAGTGTGTGGGGGTAATAGGCAAGTTTTCTGAAAAATGGCCTCCTAATAATAATGCTTAGCAGTCTACAAAGTTGGGGGGTAGGGCAGTAAAAGTGAAAAGGTTTTTCATTGCAGTGTCTTTGTGAATCTCTTTCAAGGGTCAATTTTAATGACTGCAATTACATTTTAAAATTTGGCTTTATCTTTTTTCTTGTCTCAAGCATAGTTCTTTGGCACTAGGAAAAGTATTTTAGTTCCTAGCTCGCTAATTATTTTAGCTTGTTGGTTTTTTATGTTGAAGATTTCCTCTGGTTTAGACATCTTCTAAAATGGATTTTAGTGGACATGGAAATCTGAATTGACAGTCGTTTAAATGAGTTAAGACCCATTTAATGGGGTTATGAATTTGACATACTGAATGGTGATTGGCAATATTTTTAAAAAACAAAATAAAAGGTATAAATCAGAGAGTTACTACACCTAAAAAGCTACGTGAAATGTTAACCAATTGAAGTAGAAAGACATGCCACTAATGATCATTCTGGTTTCAGAATAATTGATCTGAAGCCCTTTATAACCGTAATTAAACAGCAGAGACTACTTCTCAAAGAGCTTGACTATAACCCTGAGATGTTCTCATGTCTGCATGGCTGTGCAGTTAGTGCTGCTTTGCTTCCAAAGATGAACATGTTCTCATGTTTTGGGTGGGTATCTGAGTCCATTTGTGATGCCATAACAAAATATCATAAACTAGTAGCTTATTAACAACAAAAATGTTATTTCTCACAATTCTGGAGGCTGGGAAGTACAAGACTAAGGTGCTGGTAGATTTGGTCCCTGGGGAGGGGCCCACTTCCTGGTTCATAGAATGACACCTTCTTACTGCTTCCTCACATAATGAAAGCGACAAGGCAGCTCTTTGGGATCTCTTTTATAAGAGACTAATCCCATTGATGAGGGCTCCTCTCTCATGATCTAATTGCTTCCCAAAGGCCCCACCTCCTAAAACCATCACCTCAGGGGTTGGGATTTCAATATATGAATTTGGAAGGGACACATTCAGACCACAGCTGAGGGATAGGGGTTGGGGGAGGTTAAGAGGGAGCTTCAAAGGGGAAAGGAAGGTAACTAATTTTAGATTCAGAACTATTAAGAGTTTGAAGATTCCTGAAGCTTTTCACTATCCATTTTCCCAATAATAAAACAGAATAATAGGCCAGGAAGAATTTATACTTGTATGACAATAGCTGATGTTTTAAAAGACTAGTGCCTTCTACATTTATTTCTAAATTGATCATTTAAAACCAAAATACAAAATATTATCTTTCTCAGTATTCCCTAATAAACAATATCTTTATTTGGTTCCAAAGGCTTAATGTCATACAGGGGGAAAAAAATTAACATTACTGTAATACCTGACAAAATGTTGTGAGCCACTTTCTCACTCCATTCAGGTAATTCTTTTGATTTTTCTTCTGGAACTGGCTCACATGGTACAATGTGACTCAGGTTAACTTCTTCACTTGAAGTATCTTTAGCCTAAACAGTAAAAATGTTTCAAAATGTGAAGAGTTAGTACTAAGAGGGGGAAAACTGTAAGCATTATATAACAAATATGAAGCCAACAAATACTAGATATAATTAATGAAAACTATCTTCAGCCAACCTAGTTACCAGTATGGTCTTATAAAGCACAATACCAGAACTGCCACGAAGTTGAAAACTGTTCTGGTCCATATAAATCTTGACTGGTAAGATTTAAATACCAAAACAAGTTCAATATGGCATTTATCAAATCATTTATATTGACTTTTTTTTTCTGGACTAGACTGATTTCCTTCAAACGGATATCATCCCTAGACATTAGTGTGTACATGGTACTCAGTAAGATTAAAAGAGTTTTGTCAAATGACTCAATCAGTAAGCAAAGATGAATTCATAAACTGGTTTTGACAGAGCAAACAAATGTCTAATTTGAAACAAGAAGGAATATATAAACATAGAATAATCTGCTATTCCATTTAAGAGGAAATGGAGAACATAGAAATATCTGTACTTTGCTAACTGAACAGCTGTTATGAGAGCCTGGGCCAACACCCAAACTCTCAAAGCTAAATGAACTCATTCTAAGAAATAAGACGCAGGCTAACTCAGACCTCATAATATTAATATAATAAAATAACCTGAAAATCAAAGTGGCCAGTAATACAAAGAATGTCACATAAAATATAAAAACAACATTAAACAAAACAACTTCTATATGGGATAAAAGTCACCCATAAGTGAAAATCTAAAGCTTTTCACTGCATATACTTTTTAATATCATTTGATTTTTTTAGAACAAGAAATTAAAATGTAAAACATGAAGTTCTAAATGATATGGAAGAATTTCCAAATATACTATTAAGTAAAAAGGGAGCAAAACATTATGTTTTACATGCCACCTTTTATGTTAAATATTATATATGTCCGTGTGTGTGTATGTGTATTTAACTATGCATAAAATATATCTAGAAGGACAATAGAAGTTAATAATTATGTGTCTGAGGCCAGGCATGCTGGCTCACACCTGTAAATCCCAGCACATTGGCAGGCCAACGTGGGTGGATCACCTGAGGTCAGGAGTATGAGACTAGCCTGGCCAACATGGTGAAACTGAAACCCCATCTCTACTAAAAACACAAAAATTAACCGGGCATGGCTGCAGGCACCTGTAATCCCAGCTACTCAGGAGGTTGAGACACAAGAATTGCTTGAACCTGGGAGGCGGAGGTTGCAGTGCGCTGAGATCACACCACTGTACTTCAGCCTAAGTGACAGAGTGAGATTCCATCTGCAGGGGATGGGGGAGAGGAGGGAAGATTATGTGTCTGGACAGGGGAGCTAGGCGGTTGGTGGACAGGAATAGGGCCCAGACTTATTTTTCACCATACACACTTTTGTACCCTTTAACTTTGGTTTCTTTTGATTAACTTTAAAACAACATTTTTAAGTAAAATATATTTCTTGGAACCATTTTGGACTCCCAATATCCTCATATAGCTGGTCTAAGATGTTCAACATAAACCACAGTGACACTTTGCAAATAAATATAGAATATTCACGTGACATTCATCAATTCCAAAGATAATTATTGAGCATTTACCATGTGGAATACAGCAATGAATAATACTAAACTGCTTGTAATATGATACTCAAGACAATGCTGTTTTATTCATATACTTGCTTATACTACCACTTCTGCTTAGAATCCCCTTAAATTTGCTATTCATACGACCAACTCTTCTTTATCCTTCAAGACTCATCTTAGTCATAATGTCCTGTAGGAGGGGGCTCCTCACTGCTTCCCATACCACTCATCCACCCACACTTATCTGTTAGGCTAGGCTGCATCTTCTGTCTAATAACCACTTTGGATAGAAATGATCTCTTTGCTAATCTGTCCTTTCCATTAGACAGTAAATTCATTGAGACAAGAAATTTAAACCTTTTCCACTATGTATGCCTAACATTCTAGCACTCAATAAATACTTCCTGAACTCTAATCCAAATTTACCAGTTAAAATATATTACATACTCAGAGCCTATGAAATGAAAGAAGAAACCACTCAATATATTTTTAAAAATCAAATCTCTGTCCTGTTGCCCATCCATAAAAAAACAGGAAATAAAAATGGCAGAGTGTAAGAAAAAAATAGAAGCATATGTAGCCCCCAAGCTCTTGGTGAATATAGGAAGGCAGAGAATAACACAAAACAAATAAGAAAGTATGTGCATCATTAATGCATTCATAAAAATATTTCGGTCAGGTGTGGTGGCTCATGTCTGTAATGTTGGCTACTTGAGGCGGCTGAGGTGGGAGGATCACATGAGTCCGGGAGGTTAAGGCTGCAGTGAGCCATGTTTGCACCACTGTACTTCAGCCTGGGTGACAAAGCAGGATCCTGTCTCAAAAAAAATAAAATCTCTCAAACAGTTGGGGAAAAAAATCTATCCCCCAAACACAGAGTATCTTTTAAAATAGTTTAAGTAACATACACTTTAAAAAGGAAATATTACAACTGATTCTAATTGTTTTTGCTGGTGATCACTTTGTTGACTATGCATAAGTTGCTTTGCTTTAGTATATGGGACTATGATCATAAAAATATATGAAACTGGAGAAAAGTACCATTAGAAGACAACACACACACGTATTATTCTTTTATTTACCCTTTTTCCACGTTTTCCTTTATGACGTGCATCCTTATTGCCTTGGTCCAACTGTTTCACATCAGTGCCCGAGGCTTCTTTTAGTTGGTCAGAGGAGGGTCTAGTTCTTCCAGGGATTTGGAATTCATTTTCTTCTTCTGCTCTGTTCCAGTTGGCCTAGAGAATAAAAGTTTAAGCCTAGCCCTGATCAGAATTTTTCTTAGATGACTTTCTGCCAGCTATATTACACCATGCTCAAGTGACATACTTGTTTGAAAGTCAGTTTGGCAGTCTATAAGTAACAACTGCTTTTGCTTTTTTCTCTATGCTTCTCTTTTTTCTTATCACCAAACCCTAAATCTCTGAGATCTTTGGTTCATAGCATATGCTTAAGCAAGTTTCAAAAGACAAAGTATAAAAGACAACTTAATAGCAGTTGTTGGCATAAGTTATCTTTGAATCAGATGCAGCTACATTTAAATTTAATTAATGAATAGATTTTAGGTAACATATACAATATACAAGACAAAATGAATTTAAAGTCAATTAACAAAACTCATGTCCACTTCATTATGCATTACTGGAAGGTTTATTTTTTAATTTTCTGCACAGTATACACTTTGCTGAATGAATGCTTAAGAGTAAAAACCAGTCAAAATTATAGCTAGTAACTAGCTTATGTTTACAGTTGAAGTTCTGGGACAGTAAAGCAAGCTAAAAATAACATACAACCAAAAAATAAAATTGAAGAGAGAAAATAAACATACAATCTAAAAGTCTGCTTAGTTTTTTTCCTAAAGTCCAGTAATACAGGTCCAGTTAATATAGGGGTGAAGGGAGAAATAATTCCACATTAGGTCTGAATACTTAAGAGCATCATTTCACTCAGTCAGTAAACAGCGAAGTGAAGATGAACTGCTTTGTTTGATCATACTCCTGCCTTTGTGAATTCCTCCTCACAAGTACAATGAGGCTACACACTTCTGTATGCTGATCATGTATTTTGTTAAATAATTGCTGCTACGCTAAAGTATTGATTTGCTGACCACCAGGTAGGTCATTCTCAGGTCAACAGGGGCTGATTTTATATTTTGACACACACACACACACACGCGCACACACACACCCCTTTGTGGTCTCTTGTTCTCACAATTTGCCCATCCCACCACTTAACACAGTAACTGGTTAAATAATGAATTCCAAATATCTGCTGACTGAAGGAGAGAATAAAAGATTATACTATCATAACGCCCACCTCAGTCCACCCCAGATGACTGTCAATATTCATAATCAAAAATACTTTTTCCCTCTTGCTACAACAATATATAAAGACAGTCTCTCCATAATACTCTATTCAAGCCCCCTGTTAAACAGAAATATTCTATTTCCACAGGTACACATGTGGGCAGAGGAAACATGCCAAATAAGGAACGTTTCAGGATGATCATATTTTAAATCGTATTTTCTTTTTATTTTTTTATTTGACCTTCATTTACCACAAGAACAAAGAAAATTATCTCAACCAAAGCCTGTTTCTTCCTCAGAATGCCAACCATACCCCTTAAAATGTCCAACATAACCTATCTACTAAAGCCAAAATTATCTTCATGTCACCATTTAGACCCATTAGTACACTTTTCCAGCTGAGCAGTAAAACAGTGGTGAAAACAATAGCTAACATTCACAGAGCATCACTACTTGTTCTGATACAAGTGCTTAATGTATTAATTTTTAATTTTCACCACAGCCCAATGAGGTGGACACTGTTATTATCTCCATTTTATAAGTAAAGTAAAGTATAGAGAAGATTAGTAATAGCTGAGCTAAACGGCTATTAAGTGGAAGAGCTTGAATTCATATACAGGCAATTCGACTCTAGAGCTCACAATCTTAACCACTATTATAGCAAATTCCAAGCATGTAGCTGTGAACACACGAACAAATGATAAACTGTTAGTCTCTTAACCTTGATCACAGTAGAGGTTATTACAATTTCTCTAAAAGCTGAAGAGCTTACGTTAAAGTAGATTTTTTTCACCCTAAAGATAATCACACAAGTTACCTGGAGCCGAAGGTCAGACATTTGCCTTAACAGATCCTCAAAGAGCTCTCTATCATCCTCTGGTAACTCAGAGGACAGGACGACCCCCACAAAGCATCCTGCTGCTTGCAGCATTGTATCAGGAAACATGTACGCTCCTGCAGTACATTTCAGAACTGGAGATCTATCAGGAACTAGAGGATACAACCAGTCACAAACCTGAAAGGATTCATTAGAAGAAAAAACATATATACATATAAATGAATGAAACTAGATTTTCACTTACGTTTTAATAAAATTGTTATACTAGAAAATAAAAACTTCAAAGTTGGAAACATATTTTAAAAGGCTTTATAGAACCATCAACATCAACAAATCCCCAAGAAAATTAATCATTTGCTAGTCTGATCTTCCTGCAGTAAGGACTGTGCTAAATATGCCACGGCTCCACTAATCATACAATCTCAAAGCTCATGGCCTTAACTAGCCCAGCGTTAACCAATAATGACTCTAACTTTAAATAAATAATAATCAAAGTAAATTAAGGTTTTCTTCGTTATTGAAATAGATATTCCTTTTGTGGTACATAAACTATTTTCAGGTATTATTTACTTGAAATACTTACTGAAATAATAGTATTTACTGATTTAATGCTCCTAACAATCCTATGAAATCAGTTACTATTATTGTCATTTTATGTACAAGAAAATTGAGGCACAGAGAGGTCAATTAAGTTGCTCAGAACCAACAACTGAAAAGTGGAGCTTGGATTTTAACACATGTAGTCTGGACCAGAGAAGCTGAACAATTATTTTAATCAGAAACCCAGCACTCACAGGCCGGGCACAGTGGCTCACACCTATAATCCCAACACGCTGTGAGGCCAATGGGGAGCGGGGGGATCATTTGAGGTCAGGAGTTCAAGACCAGCCTGGCCAATATGGTGAAACTTGTCTCTACTAAAAATACAAAAATTAGCTGGGTGTGCTAGTGCATGCCTGTAATCCTAGCTCCAGCTCCTTAGGAGGCTGAAGCAGGAGAATCACCTGAACCCGGGAGGTGGAAGTTGCAGTGAGCCAAGATTGTGCCGTTGCACTCCAGCCTGGGCAACAGAGCAAAACTCTGACTCAAATTAAAAATAAATAAATAAGAAACTCAGCACTCACAACGTGGAATAATTTTTTGTACTAAATCCAAGAGAACCTGACATAGCAGAATAGATTAAATTAATGTTTACGGACTGTCTATCTATTGTGAAATAAAAAGCAAAATAACAAAAGCTCACCTGCAGTGTCATCTGGGAAGGTCAGCTTGCCAGTACACACACAGACTTAAGCTCACATCCTGGCTGCCTAATTTATTTCTAATGCAAAACATTATTTGAGTAACCAAAATACAACTGTGCTCAACATCAAAACAGTCTTACCCACAAACTTTTAACACTTGAGTAGTTATATATTTTAATACGTATGAGAAGAAATACACATTTCCCTTAATTTCAGTTATTAAGATATAACTGACAAGTGGGACAATTTAGTAAAAATATAAAGCAAGTAATAGTAGTGGTATGGAGTTGACAATAAAGATTGTAAAAGTTATTCTAAAATAAAACTTAGGAAAGGTTTTTTTGTTTTTGTTTTTTTTACTATTCCATGGTTTCTTCCAGATTAACTATATCCTGGTCACCTTAATTGAACTGGAATATCACCAAATTGTCTTTAAAATACCAACACTTTATAGACCTTTCTTAGGACAGGATATTACAGATGAGTGAGTTCATCCACCATAGGCTGATTTTTCTCAGTTTCATTTTCAGAGGGCAATTTCATGTCCAATTTCTGTAACTATAGATTTAACAAGTTTAAAAAGTATGTGGTATTAAAACTAAAACCAAAAGAAAAATCTTTTTTTGAAGTTCTAGAATTCTGTCTACCTAAAACCAAAAAATCTTAATTTCCTATTTAGACCAATAGTGATTTTAACAGTGATTTTTAGTATAGGAAACATCTAACTTCTAGTATTTAGTTGGTTTATTATTGTATTTTTTTTTGATAAAAACATTCAGAAAACACATATGTTAACTCTTTTAAGGACACTCTGCTACAAATACCTGAATACAAGCAAACGAGAACCTGTTAAAGAGACTCAAATTAAATTTTGGGAGCAATTTTACTTTTCATTTAGGACAAAAAAATACACATATGAGAAAGATTAAAAACAAAATTAAAAGCACTAAGGACAAATCTGTATTAAAGTACAAGTCATTTCAATGGATGAGTGAATGTAACCATGGTACAGTATTTCTGCCATTCACTACCCCATCTCCAGTTGCTAAGGACCCAAAGATGTTTTAATTCCATTGTTACAGTGCAACACTATTAGTAGAAGTTGTTACAGCTTTTATCATCCTCCACCACAAACCCCAACCAATAAGCCTACTCTTTTTAACCTTAAGGCTCCTTCCCTAAAATAATCTACAGGAGTCACAATATTCTTCCCGCCCAGTATCAAATATTTCCTTTCAATAACGCCCTCAAAGTATCTCCCTCACACACCCCTAGTAAGCCTCAAATTGTCTTTAAACAACTTTCAAGTTGACTCCATATAAAAACTACATAAGAATCAACAGGAGAGTATACCAAAAGAGAAAATGATTAGAGATAGCCTATGCTATTACTAAACCACATTATTTGGACTGTGGACAAAACACTTGCTTTGCTTAAAAAGTGATCTTTCTTCAATGCAAACTCCTTTGTTATACTCAACGTATACTGAGCCCTCATTTCAAGAACTCATCTTCCCATACCTACATCCAATCTTTTAAAATGAGATTGTCACTGGACCACTATCTTCAGAATACCTCACTAAATCCACAGTAATGCCCTGACATCAATCTTCATGTAGCACTCTTTACTCTTGGACCAAGTGCATTCTGGTAAATTTCTCTGCTTGGACTGTTGGAATTACATCTTAAATTATCACCACAGACTCTACTTCTAAACCAGGGTCTCTCAACCTTGGCATAGTTGAGATTTTGGGCAGGATAATTTTTTTTGTTCATGAGGGCTGTCCTGTGTAACTGTGTGGCAGCATCCCTGGCCTCTATCCACTATGCTAGTAGCAATCAACCTCCAGTATGACAACCAAAAGTGCCTCCAGACATTGTCAAATTTTCTCTGGGGAGGCAGAATTACCCCTGGTTGAGAACAACTGTTCTGGACCATGTGCTGGGTCTTGCCCAGTTCAGACCCTCAGCTGAGTCTTCACAACATTTGTGAATATTTACAGCTATACAGCCACAGGAATTACATAAATCCCTTTTGAAATTAAACTTATTAGGTTTCTTCTTCAGATAAAGAATTAAAAGTTTAAGGATGACCACTCTTCTCAAGTTTTATCATCACAAACTTAATACCAAAATAAAACTACTAATATATCTTTTTTTAAAAAAAAAAAGACTATAAAACACAAACATTTTTAAGGCTCATAATTTCATGGAATATATTTAAAAACAAAGAATTTATTGTTATCTTTTTGCACTTATACTGGACACATAAACATTAACAAATAAAAATGATGAAGTCTACATGTTTTTCAAATTATGCTTTCATTTTCCTTTGGCTTACCTGAAGAAACCCGGGAGGACGGTTTAGAACCGTATCAAGAGAATTATCCAAAAACCTCACAATTCGAAGGTACCCAGGATACGAAGGTGCACTAACCTCCCCTGCAGGATTTACAAAAAAAATCTGTACTCCATTTGGTATCAAAATCAATTCATCTGCATCTAGCCCTAAAGTCTCAAGAGGCGGCGGCTGAGAATGATTCCTGTAAAACTCTTCTCCAACTGATGAAAACTCCCCAGAATCTGTTCCATAGGATACAGTGTAGTGACCTTCAGCAGCCTGAGGAGTATAAGCAGGAGGAGCTTCTGCTGGACAACTTTGGGATGGTAAAGAGAGAGAAGCAGGCGCAGCAACTGCCCCTGCACTTGGAGTTGAGGTGTTTCCATCTACTTCAGCATGCTGAGGAGCTGAACTAAAAGACTGAGGCTCTGGTAATTTTTCACACATGTCTTTAGGTGGAAATTCTGGATATAACTTGGGCACCTCCTGAAGATCATTCTGTAGAGAAGTGGCAAGACCCTTCTCTAGAATTTCCAGCCTGGTGCGTACGTTCTGTAGTGTTTCTTTCATTTTCTGTTGCATTTGTCTAGCAGATTCCCACCCAGGGCCTGTGTGTTCAGACTCTGTTGATGAAATGCTGATCCCTCTGAGCAGGTGTCCTATTCCTTGCTTATAGTAGTTCTTTGCTTCTTCCTTCTGACCTAATTCATCTGTATTTAGACCTTTGTTAACAAACAAAAAGGCCTTCTTATATGCTTCTCTGATGATCTTAATTTCAGCAGGTTCTCCATTTTGTGGCTCTTGCTCCATTTCTGCAAAATTGGAAACATATTTAATTATCTTGCTTAGCTATTGTTTACTTATTATCTATATCTCCTACCTGAATATATTTTAAGAGGACAAGTGCCTCGCTTATCTCTGTTTTGTCCACTATTATACTATCCTTTAAGCCTACTATCAGGTCTGTCATAAAGAAAGCACTTAATATGTATTTGATGACTGGATGAATGAAAACTCTTGGTCCAAAATACCTTAATTTAAAAACATAAGAGAATAAATCAGAATACATCTATTACATAATTTTCTTGTTCCAGTTTCTTATAATAGTTTCCTATCATACATATGATATGTATGATATATCATATCATACTGGACACATAAACATTAACAAAATGATGTAGTTTACACATATTTCAAATTATGCTTTCATTTTTCTTTGAAAAATGAATACATTTTTGTATTATGGTTGAAACAAGAATCTCATTCTAAAATTCATTACGATATAAATCCAGATTATATCCAGCCAATAAAAAATGAATTGAATCATACACTGGGGAAAACAGAAATGAGAAAAAAAAATTTGAAAGAAACTCCGTTACCTGATTTCCACTTAAAGGTGGCAGGTTACGCTACACAGCCCTGTTGCTTCCCCAAATCCCACTAAGATGACTCTAGAAAGATTATGAAAAAGGAATAACCATGTTTTTTCTTAGTGAGAAAAATACATGAATAGGTACTTCACAGAAGAAAATCTTTAAAAAGCAACTGAAAAGGTATTCAACATACTATTCCCTCAGAAAAGTGAAACTAAAATCGAGTGACACCAACTAGACACTTAACAGATGGCTAAAATTTAAAAGACTGATTAGTGCTAAGTGTAACTCTTCTACCTTGATGGTGAAAGCTGAAAAACGATACACCATTTTGGAAAACTGGTAGTTTCTACTAAAGCTAAACATTCACCCACTCAATGACCCAACAATTCCACTTGCAGGTATATAACCAAGAGAAATGGATGCATGTGCATGCCAAAGACATGTATGGCAATATTCACAGCAACTATATTCACAAAAGGCAAATCCTTAAAACAACCCAAATGCTTACTCATTCATACAATGCAATAATACACAGAAAAAAATTTTAAACCTGATTGCCTGCAACATCAATGAATTTCACCAATTCTTTGAGCAAAAGCCAAATACAGAAGACTTCATATTGAGACCATACACTGTGATTCTAAATGAATTAAAGAATGGGAAAAACTTGTCTATGATATGAAATAAGTCAAAATGGTGCTTATAGGTAGAGGCTAATGACTTCGCAGGTACAGGAGGGAATCTCATGGCCTTTGGAAATGTTCTCTGTTGATCTGAGTGATGACTGCAAGGGTGTACAGTAGTCCCCCCTTATTTACAGTTTCACTTTCTGTGGTTTTGGTTACCTGCAGTCAATCATGATCTAAAAATATTAAGTGGAAAATAACAGAGATAATTAATAAATTTTAAATTGCACATTCTCAGTATCATGATTAAATCTCTTGTTGTCTCTCTCTGTGCTCCCCGAGGCATGAATCGTCTCTTTGTCCAGGGCATCCATGCTGTCTATGCTCCCCTCCCATGATCACTTAGTAGGTGATATGGTTTGGCGATGTCCCAACCCAGATCTCATCTTGAATTGTAATCTCCATAATCCCCAGGTGTCAAGAGAGGGACCCAGTGGGAGATGATTGGCTCATGGGGGCAGTTTGCCCCATGCTATTATTATGATTGTGAGTTCGCACCATATCTGATGGTTTTATAAGGCAGTTTTTCCAGCTTCTGCTAGCTCTCTCTTTCCTGCCGTCATGTGAAAAGTCTTTGCTTCCCCTTCGCCTTCTGCCATGATTGTAAGTTTCCTGAGGCCTCCCCAGCCACGCAGAACTGTGAGTCAATTAAACCTCTTTTCTTTATAAAGTACCCAGTCTTGGGCAGTTCTTTACAGCAGTGTGAAAACGGTCTAATACAGTAGCCATCTTGGTTATCAGATCAACTGTTCTAATATTGTGGTGGTTGGATTCAAGTAATTCTTTTTACTTAATAATGGCCCCAAAGTGCAACAGTAGTGATGCTGGCAATTTGGATATACTGAAGAGAAGCTGTGAAGTGCTTCCTTCAAGTGAAGAGGTTAGTTTTCAACTTAACAAGGAAAAAAATCATATGCTGAGGTTGCTAAAATCTACCATTAAGAACATATTTTCTATTCCTGAAATTGTGAAGGAGTAAAAAGAAATTATGCTAGTTTTGCTGTTGTCCCTCAAACTGCAAAACTTATGGTCAAAGCATGTGATAAGTGTATTAGTTAAGATGGAAATGGCTTAGATATGAACAGAAACATGTTCCAATTGAAAGCAATGGGGTTCCACACTATCCATGGTTTCAGGCATCCACTAGGGGTCTTGCAACTTATCTCCCTTGGATAAGGGGTGGGGGGGGGATACACATAAAAATTACTAAACTAAAATTTAAGATCAGGGCACTAGATGCATTTTATGCGATTCCTTAACAAAACAGATAAACAATAAAGCCATAACTCACAAGGACAAATAGGGACGATGAAGAGTCAACAGTACTTGCTGTCAAAAAAGGAGGCGGACAAGTGAAAACTCCCAAAACACACTTGAGAAAACAGATGCCTTAAACTGTCAGTGGGAAAATCAGAAATGGAGCTGCACTTACATCACATCAAAAACCTCCAAAAGCATAAGAATTGATGGAATTCAATCTTCCAGTGGAAAGGAAGTAGAGGTACAGCTGAAAAAAGAGGACTGGTTGAAAGCCTGTTTACAAATTAGCACCCTCAGATCTTTCCTACACCAAGCACTCAGGACACTGTTTCTCTACAGCCCTGAAAGACTGAGTGCTTTGATCTAGAAGACTGTAAAATAAAGTGTGGATTAGAAACTATCAGGCATGATTAAGGGTAAAAACCAAAAGCAGGGGGATTAAATGAAATGTTACACATTGATTATTGAGACCCACAGCCTTCCTCCCCACAACTTGGTAATTAGGAGTTCCGGCTGCCAGGTACCCCTCAAGAAAGGAGATTGGAAGTTACCTTCTTGAGGAATCTGATCACCACCAAGAGGAAAGACACAAAGAATAGTGATAGTGAGAGTTCCCTAAGGAAAACTGTCCAAGCAATTCACCGTTCAGAAGCCATAGTTGATAGGTTCTACCCACAGAATCTCAGATCAGCTTTCTAGCGCTTCCGTTCACTCACATGCACACACTCACACAGACACACACACAGCCCAGGATCACAAAACATGAGGCAAACATCCAGTATAAAAGATAAAAATAAGAGCAATGTAATTTGGTTGAAATGGACAATGTGCAAGAAAAGGAAAACTTATTTAAAAAAACCCTATCATTTATATCAACATAAAGAAAAAGAAAATATCACATCCATAAAATAAAAAGTGGGATGCATGCACACTGAAAAAAGGATATTCAAGGGACAAAATGAACTCTGGGAAATTAAATATTTAAAAAGCAGAAAGGAAAAACTCAAGAAGGATGAGATCATACAATTATAGAAAATGCCCAGAAAGCAGAGCAAAAAGACAGAGATGAAAAATAGGCAAGAATAAATAAGAAAATTAGGACCCAGTCTATAAAGCATATCATTTGAATAATAAAACTTCTAGAAATACGGGAGGCCGAGGCGGGCGGATCACCTGAGGTCAGTAGCTGGAGACCAGCCTGACCAATATGGTGAAACCCCGTCTCAAATACAAAAGAATTAGCTGGGCATCATGGCCTGCACCTATAGTCCCAGCTACTCAGGAAGCTGAGACAGGAGAATTGCTTGAACCCAGGAGGTGGAGGTTGCAGTGAGCTGAGATCGCACCACTGCACTCCAGCCTGTTGGACAGAGCGTGACTCCATCAAAAACAAAAAAACAAACAAACAAAAACAAACAAAAAAATCTCCCAGAAATAGAGAATAGAGAAAAAAATAAGGGATGAAAGAATTAAACAAATAATTCATAGAATTTCCTAGAATTGGAAAACATGAATTCCCTGATTTAAAACGACCAAAAGGTTGGGGGCAGTGGCTGACACCTATAATCCCAGCACTTTACGAGGCTGAGACAGGCGGATTGCTTGAGTCCAGGAGTTTGAGATCAGCCTGGGCAACATAATGAGACCACCTCTACAAAGAAAACATTAAAAAATTAGCCAGATGTGCTGGTGTGTGCCTGTAGTCCCAGCTACTCAGGAATTGAGGCAGGGGGATCACTTGAGCGCAGGAATTCAAGGCTGCAGTGAGCTATGATCACACCACTGCACTCCAGCCTGGGTTGAAAGAGCAAGACCTCGTCCCTAACAAATAAAAGTAAATAAAAAAACCAATGGGCAAAAATAAGGAAAAAAAAGGGACACCGAGGTAGGCAGATCACAAGGTCAGGAGATCGAGACCATCCTGGCTAACAAGGTGAAACCCTGTCTCTACTAAAAATACAAAAAAATTAGCCAGACGTGGTGGCGGGGGCCTGTAGTCCCAGCTACTCGGGAGGCTGAGACAGGAGAATTGCTTGAACCCGGGAGGTGGAGCTTGCAGTGAGCCGAGATTATGCCACTGCACTCCAGCCTGGGCAACAGAGCGAGACTCTGTCTCAAAATAAATAAATAAATAAATAAATAAACAAATAAGAAAAAAATATTTCACACCAACAAACATACCATGACATTTTAGAACACTAGGCTCAAAAGGATCATCTTTAAAACACTTAAACAAAAAAAAAAAAAAAAGAGAGAGACATAAAAGTGCTAAGGAACTTAGGAACTTCTTAAAGGCAACAAAACAGAAGAAGGAAATTATATATTTAATTCATAATTCTGAGTAAAACTAGCTTCTAAACCCAGCCAAGTGACTGCTCAGTTATTACATCCTCTGTTTGCTGGGTACCATGTTTTATGAAAGGAATCCCAAGACTGATGATGAGCTTCCAAGCTAACAATCAGGCAAACATTCCAGGGTGGAGTAGGAGACAACAGGAAAGAATGTTTTAAGAAAGTAAAACTGATAGAATACTTAATGTGATCGCAAGCTCTGAAAAAAGATCTACACAACCGTGAGAGTATTCAGGGTTTCATTAGTACTAATTAAAAACTGAGGATTAACTCTAGGGAAAACGATGTTGAGCAAGAAATAAAAAGTAATCATAATGTATTAAATGTTTCAGTTTTCATTGGTGTCATAATATATACAATGAATCTGAATATAAACAAAATTATGGTACAATCATATTGAAAAGATGGGAAGACGGATGGATAAAAAGTTTATGTGCATGTGACAAAGGATGAAAGACATAAAACTTCATCTTTCCCACTGAGAAGTTAATGGACAATGCCTAAAACTGAGAAAGTACCAATATATTCTCACTGTTTAGAGTACAAAAAGACCAAAAGAATTGGGTGAGAAAAACGATACAAGCTGACTTTGGGAGGAAGGGGTAAGATTTTTCTTAAATCTATGTGTATGACAGAAAATTTAATTACTATTACATTAAAAAAAGTAAATGGAAGCTTTAGAGTAACTATGTCAAACAGAACTGTAATGAAAGCCACATATGTAATTTTTAATTTTCTAATAACCACATTAAAAAGGTAAAAAACAGGTGAAATTAATTTCAATGATAGTATCTTATTTATCCAAATATATCAAAAACATTATTTCAATATGTAGTTAATATAAAAACTTTCAGTTAAATATTTTAGCTTTCTTTTTTTGATATGGAGTCTTCAAAACTCAGTATGTGTTTTACACTGAAAAGATATTTCAATTCCAACTAACCCCATTGCAAGTGCTCAATATTCACATGTACCTAGTGGCTACTGTTATTAGATGTAGCAATTAATTTCCTGTGATCTCATGAAAACTTATGATAGAAGAATTTCAGTGATATGAAACTATTTTAGCAGCAATCTACACTATAAAGCATCACAGAAGCATCACAGAAAGCATCCATTAAAATTGGTCTAGCTTCCGATTAATAATATAACTATACTTTCTAACCTGAAAAGCCACTAGTCGGCCTTATCAAGCAACAACTTCATGGTAGTCAACAGAATATATTCAGTAATGAATTTAGAAAATACCATATACAATTGACCATATACAGACCCAGCTATTTGCTCTACCCCACAACCTCTATCAAAATTAACAATCTCTTCTCCTGGAATTCTATCCTATTGTGTCTTAAGACTGCCACACCTTTCCAAAGAAACCACAGGCATTTTGTACTTTATCTTCCTCAGGATACAAGGAGGCCCAAAGTAAAACAGCAGAAAGACAGCAGAGGTTAAATAGGCTTCTGTGAGTTGACTGGGAACTTCACCAGCATCATTAAGTTTGTCCAAGTGACTTGAACAGGGTCTTGAACAACACTGTGACTTGGCACCCACTTTTGTGCTACATACAATAGGACACCACTATCCCCATGCATCATTTAGAGTACTTAACATATGCTGGACAGTATGCTAGGTGTTTATCTGAATTCTTACAAACAATTCTTGAAGCAATATTACTATTAGTACTTCTTTCCAGAGAAGAAAATTGAAGTTTGAAAGCATTAATTGCCTTAGATCACCTGTTTTCTGAAAGACCCTGGAATTAAGAATTACTTTTACATTTTTTAAAGGTTATGAAAACAAAGAAGAATGTGCAACAGAGCTCATATATGGCCCCAAAAGCCTAAAATATTTACTATCTGGCACTTCACAAAAAAAGTTTACTGACCCTGCACTAGTTGACGGAATTAAATAGTCTGATTCCTAAACAAATCCTCTAAATCAGGGTTTCTCAATCTTGGCATGGTTGACATTTTGGGTTGGATAATTCTTTGTTAGCAGCATCCTGATCTCTGTCCACTGGATGCCCATAGCAGCACCCCTCCCCCATCCCAGTTGTGACCACCCAAAATGTCTCCAGACATTGCCAAACGTACCTTGGGCAGCAAAATCGTCGCCCGCTGAGAATTATCACTCTAAATGGTCTTCAAACTGGGGACAAATAAAGTCTTCCATGGGGCATACACCAACAACATGTGTAATTTTAAGAAAAAGGCTTCCAGATCCTTTACTCCCATGAGTATTCCTCACTAAACTGAACTGCCTGAGAAAATGCCCACTGTTCGGTTATCATGCTAGTTTTAATCCTTTCACAATCTTCCACTTTACGAAACAAAGGCATACTTCTCACCCACTCCTATTCTTACTATGCTACACTGCCCCAGGATGGAAAAGCCTTCCTACCAACAAACAATAAGTCAAAGGGTTCAAAGACCCTCCTTTAATTTAGGCACAACTCCCACTAACCATTCCATTAAGAAACAGATTTCCAGTAAACTTCTACTTTTAATAATTATTCTTCATTAAAATCCATCAGGTGTTTATGCTGTTCTGATCAACTATTTATAATAACTCAACCCAGAAGAAAAATTACAACTTACAAAATTAGTTATAGGAAATTTTTAAACTTAGTTTCAATTTACATAAACATTGTTATTAAAGACATGTATCACAGAGATTGATAAAAAGCTTTCAAGCATAAAAATACATTATCTTAAGATAATATTCTGTGGGGTAGGGGTGATAAAAAAGTAAAATTTTTTCAAAAAGGAAGTGTGTAAAATATAATGTATTTTAAAAATTGATGGTGATGGATATAAAACTACAAAGATACGATACTCCACTGAATACAGTTAAAAGATTGATGTACCAACATATTAAAATGTTAATATCAATCCCATGTGGGAAATTGCATCCTTTTCAACTAACGCATGACGTAAAATGCTCTAAGTTAACCAAAAGTGTGCAAGGGGGACAGTTTTACAAAAATTATTTCGGGGTTCACAAGCAAGTTAAAAGTACTGCTTTAAAAATCACTCACTACTATTATAGATGGCAAAGATATAATGGACATGGTCTGTCTCTGGCCTTTAGAAGCACCAAAATTTGCTATCTTTTGTTAGGCTCTCTAAATGTGTCTGGCACTTTTCTAAGGTTATCCAATTCTCACTCTTAGAGGTTGATATCTGATTTTTAAAATGTTTTACAAATATAGAGCAGTTTGCCCAAAAACAGGGTTAGTAAATGATAGATTCAAATCAGTTCATGGATCAGAAGACTATCTGTCAAGAAAATTAAATGAGCTCTCGCCTGTAATCCCAGCTACTGCACAGGCTGAGGCCGGAGAACAGCTTGGGCCCAGAAGTTCAAGGCTGCAGTGAGTTATGACCGCACCACAGCACTCCAGCCAGCCTGGGTGACAGAGCAAGACCTTGTCTTTTTAAAAAAAGAAAAGAAAAGAAAAGAAAAATGAAAATGAAAATTAGATGAAATGTGTTTGATTCCAAATCTAAAAGTCCTACTATGTTTACAAGTCAGCAGGGTGAGAGAAGGGTGAAGAAAACCCAGTGTCCCATGGTAGAAAGTCATGTGGTTTAAATCTTCAGTAGGTAGCATTTGAAAGCAGAAGCGAGGCATAATGAAGGCACTTAGCTAGAAGCAATATTTACCTTGGGTATACCTTTATTTCTAAGCTTATTTAACATACAGTATGATGAAAGATTTCCTAAACAATGTGTCAATGGAGAGAACAAGATGGCTACTGAGAAAGAGGAGTGTGTCTGTGTGTAGGGTGGAGTGGGAGGGCTAATCCCACAGGGTTGCTTAATAACCTGCCTTGCTGCATCTCCATCTTAAAGAGAAAAAAAGGTTACACAGAGAGAAGAGCCTGGATATCCAGAGGTTATATAAGTCTAAAGGTCAATTTCAGTCTAATCTCTGGGGAATCTCAACACAGAAAGAAAAAGGTTTAAATTAAAATATCACATTTTTATTTTGGGACTGGGATTTGCTATATCCTCAGCAGTCTCAGAAAATACATTTTACAGAAATAAGGATTGTAGGATGGTGACTTTTAAAAAAGCCTATTCCATTCCTAAGCAAAATTACATGTCAATCAAGGGTCCTGAAAAGATAAAAACCATTATCACATGATTTCACATTCTTTAATTTTCAAAGTTAAGAAGAGAAAGTCTTTTAAATGACAATCTGATGTATTAAACAGTACCTACACCAGTGTAATAGTCTTCAACAACAAACCAAAATCTGTTCCTGGATACCAGTAATTCACCTAAATTTTAATTTGTTAACGTTCTAATAAAACACATTTATTTCAACATAACTATATGTATGTGTGTATATGTCTTAAAAAATACCCAAGAGCAAAGGTAAAATTCTGAATTAAAATACCTATTTAGTTCGATTCCATAAACATTGAAAGTAGTAACACTCTCACTTCACTCTCAACAGTCAACATTACAAACAGTCTCTAATAATACCGCATTTATCTCCCCGGAGCTAGCAGAAGTTGATCGAATGCCTACTTGGTCCTTTACCAAAAAAGCGGAGGGGGCCTTGTCTAATACCTGAATGCACCTCCCTCCGTAGCATCCCGCTCATTCTAGCTTGTTAGGGAAACTACAGACAACGACGGTTCAGAGAGTGCCACAGGTGAAGCCCACCCGAAACCACATTACAGAAAGGCTTCCTGTTTCAAACAGGTCCAATAAAGCCACGAAACGAAGGCTACGATGATAAAGAACTGAGAATCAGAAAATACTTCCATATGGGTGCGGTCTTCTATTACGTTTTCCCCCACTTTCGGAAATGTCAAAGAAAAATTGCTACATTCTTAAAGATGAGGCCACCATTTCAAAGGCAGTAAAAACCTGGAAGCAAATTCGTTAAATTAGAATACAGTAAGGCCAACCTCGGGGATCCTCGGTGGACTACTAGTGCACTTCTTTACAACTAGAAAGTGGAAAACTGGGTCAGCCCCACAGTCACGCAATAATGCCGCGTCACGACACTGCGCATTCCAAGAGAAACTTTTCTCATGCCCAGAATTGAGCCGGAGGGATCCTCCGCGCAGCTCAATCTCTAGGAAGCATGAAGGAACGTATTGTAAAGAGTAAAATCACGCACAAGCCATCCCAATACAACTGCAGTTGTTCGTGGGCCTTCTTGCAGAGAAAGGCTGCCGAACCTTGACGGGGCCGTGGGCGCTGCGGGAGAGCAAAAGACTACAGAGATCTGCGAAGCCAAAGTAAACAACGAGGTTGGGGCCCCGAGAATGATCAATAGCGATGCTCCGAAAGGACCCCGCGACGGGAAGCGAGCGGGAAGGATTCCCTCCACTCTAACAGTCCATGGGTTAGAGGCCGAAGTTTCCCTAAATACCACGTTCCGGGGAAGGGACTGAGAACAACTTCTCAAACTATTCTCTCTCGAAATCGCTCCCTTCCTCGAAAGTTCCATCTCTGAGACTCGCAGGAGGCCCCAAACCCCTCCGCCCTTGTCCCGTGACCGTCGCCCGCTCAGCCTCCCAGCGGAGTCCGCCGGGCCTGGGGCGCCCACCCCGCCCA